ATTTGTTTAACTTCGAGTCGAATGAAGACATAACATTGTTGCTTGCGTTTTTGTACGTGAATGCTTTTAAAATCACGGAGATTTGTTCCATATGCTAGTATTTGTATTGAGCAAAGTAGATTTAAAAAAACAAACAATAAACATAAACACAATACTATATGTGGAGTTTCTGTTAGCAAAACATCATGGATACCAAATACTTGGTGGACACATTCTCATATATTTTGCTTAACATATGTATTTAGATGTTTAAAAATTTTGTGGGTAAACTCTACAAGAGATAGATGGGAATTTCGAATTTTACGTAGTTAGGAATATTCGAAGTTGAAATTAATGAATTTTTTCAGAGTAAATGGTACTTTGATCACGATCTTTTTCATGATCTGCGTTTTTAATTAGCCAGCTAATTAACAAATGCATATGCATTCGACCAGTTGAATGGCAATATCTAGATGATAACAGTGAAGATACATGTAATAAAAGTTTGGTGTATCTTTCGAACAAGAATCAGCAGTTTAGTGTCCTACTCGGACAGACAGTTCTTTTTAAAATTGAATGACCTAATAGTCCAGTTAAACGAGTTAGAATTAACAATTTATTTAAATGGTTTTACAATCAACCATTCGTATAGCCGGCCCATATAGATACGACTTCGAATTATCGAATCTATATAAAAGATTTTTTTTGTAAAATAAATAAAAACGTAAAACATGTACTGGAAAATGTGTACTTTTTTTTATAATAACAGCAGTTCCAACTTCTCATCTACTAGTATACGGAAACTATTGATTGATTGAATGGTTATTAATGTCCGGTAGCAAATATTACATGCACACAGGACGAGATACGTTGACGTGATGTGAAAATTCGTGTTGTCAAGACCTACATACTAAGTCAATATTGAACTAGTTCACAAGGTAACAGTCATTATTCCCGGATCGATACGAGTTGAAGAGTCTTCATTCTAGTAAGATGTGTGCTTTGGGGCGAAGCGGAAAATAATAATTTTCAAGTTTTTTTGTTGACCCTAAAGGGATTATGTTTTTTTTTTTGCACTCAAAGCGAGTATACGGTATGGTTGTGGTACCAACAACTATGTAGCTGGTATTTTCTTAACAATGCCCGTAATATAAAAAGTTCCTCTAAGTTTACACCAGTTGTATGTATTTATCGTACACATACATGTCTTACAGGATTAAAAATTCCGCTGCATGTGTATTCCTCTTGCTTTTATTCTTTGTGTAGTTTTTAAAATGCATACATAGAAAAAACAATTATGTTAACTTTGTTCCTCACTCTCTCTCTCTCTCTCTTTTTTTTTTTTTTTTTTGTGAAAACGACGTGGATGCACGTGCTGCCGTGCCTCCGGGTAGCTACGCCCCTGAAAGGGACGTCTGTTATAAGGAACAAATATACGTGAACATCAGTACTATGCAGTTAGAGACATATAATACAATTATATTCTCTGATGCAGTTTAAACACAAGATTCAATTGGTACATTTAAATCTTGAAATCACTTTTGTGTTTTGATACGATACCAACATTTAAAGTCTAATTTGTCAACCTCAGCGTCGAGTATATACCATTTCGTAACACGTCTAATGATTGACATGAAAATTTAAAAAAAACATTAAGAATACATATTTCACATCTAAAGTGTATTTGAATGTACCATATCCTCAAAACTCGTTATTAAATGCAGCAATTAAGAGACTTAAACTGAAATTAGTGTGTTTGAAAAAAGTAAAATCACAAAAATACTGAACTCCGTGGAAAATTCAAAACAGAAAGTCCCTAATCAAATGGCAAAATCAAATGACAAAACACATCAAACGAATGGACAACAACTGTCATATTCCTGACTTGGTACAGGCATTTTCAAATGTAGAAAATGGTGGATTGAACCTGGTTTTATAGCGCTAAACCTCTCACTTGTATGACAGTCGCATCAAATTCCATTATATTTACAACGATGCGTGAACAAAACAGACATAATAGGTAACATTGTCAAAATATGGGTACAGCAGTCATTACTGTGTCACAATCTTAAAACAAACAAACATTTAACAAAGAAGCACAAAAAGCATCTATCAAATTTAACAACCACATTCATTGTTTATACTTATATATGTATTTTAAATCAACCCATAAAAGATTGAAATATTTAAAGTCCTGTGACTGCATTCACATCTACTCTTAGTGTAGAGTCGCATGTTTGACGCCAGAAAATGTAAACGTCACACAAGAAGAAATATAAAATAATTTTGTCGTTCAAAGTTTTTTCAAAATCATAATTTCACATGAGGAATGGTGGTATACAGGGTTGAAAAATCAAAAGTCTTTGTTAGAACTAATTTCTGAAAAAGACCAAGATTTAAAATTATCCAGAAGTTCTTTAGAATTTTTAAGAATCTACATATGGTTAATACCACTACGCGAGTAGAATAATTTTGTCGTTCAAAGTATTTTCAAAATTATAACAGAACAATAACATAACGGTATTATAATAGAACAATTCTAAAATGAAGAGTAACTTGTACCTATACATCAAGTTATGCTTGTTGTATTGTAATTTTGCTGTGTTAAGATATATAATGTGTTACCAGAAGTTATGCGCTATATCTGTTTTGTGTATGGTAACCAAACCATATAAAATTGGCAATAAAAAGAGATATATCGGAGAAATATACACTGTAAACCATAAGATTTTCAAAATAACTGGTTCAGATTTTCATATGCATGACAGGTGCCTCATGTTTTTAGAATAAGCTACATCAGGTACTCTCGAGAATAAGATTTTAACAAATTTATTATCATACAGATGTTTTCCACTTAACTTGTTTTTTTAGAAAAGCATTATTTCATTAATTCAAGAGCACGTATTATGAAGGCTTGTCAAGTTCAAACCTAGCTTTAATATATTTTTTATATAATGTGCAAATGGCACTTGAAACAAACTTCCAATCAATTATGCTACAATGCATAGAAAACAACCACAACGAATGTGGACTTTCCTTTATATGTACATATCAAACTTTAAATGATGTAAACTAGCTAAAGCATGCTATTAAAACTACTTTAGAAGAACAATTAACTCAAGTGTGGAAACCTCTGCAAAACTTTAAATTGAAAAGTATTTTGATAAACTTAGCGACAAAGATATGTTTACATTCTGTAAATTTAGAATCATACCATAGAATGTTGCAGGTGGCCTAATATCCAAAGAGAAAATTGGACCTGCCCTTTATGTGAAGATGGTGATGTTAGTGATGAATACCATATGCATTATCTCCTAAAATGCAATTTTTTTTACAACAGAAAGAGAATAATACTTATAGATAAAAAAATCACAAAAATTGTAATTTCTCAAGTTTAGAGTACTTATGATAAAATTGAGAATGAAAACAGGTAATGTGTCAAAGAGACAACAACTTGACCATAGAGCAGAAATCAGCTTAAGGCCACCAATGGGTCTTCAACACAACGAGAAAATCCCGCACCCATTTAAACAATCTAAGCTTAGAAATTTGTGTAAGTTCATTAGAGTTATAAATGATGAAGTGGATTCTCTCCATTAAACTTCACCCTCCTCCCCAATATTTTAAGGCCTTCCATTTAATATACATTTTTAAAATGTAAACAGGTTTATGTATATCTATAGTATTTATTGTTTATTTCAATTCCTCAACATATGTACCATTGTATTATTGTATAATGTCTATATTCTTCCGTGTAAAAATGTATCTACAGCAGTTTATAAGAATAAAGCCTACCAGTATGTATGATTGTGTACATTTGCTGTTTTACTTTGGATAGGATACTATTTGTCTTTCATGGATCCCAATGTGGTCACATGTCTCCCTTTTTTATGGCCCCGCAACAAAGTTGTCAGGGCCATATAGTTTTACACTTATCCGCCATTCCGTCATTCCGCAACAAACAGTTATACAGACTTTTTTTTCTAAATGCCTTCACATATTGAGCTGATTTTTCCATTCCTAAAAACGCCTTCTAGCATTTTTTGCAAGCGGGGCCATTTGTGTCGTTCCGACACATCTACTTTTTTTAAAATTTGAAGCATTTAAGACAGAGTTATTGCGAACCCAATGTAAGTTTTCCACAGTGCCATCTCTATCTGGTCAAGGTATTTTAACTTTTGTAAGTTCTCTTGACCTATCAAATCAATACAATAACTATTGTTATCTGTGTAGTTTATTCACTGGGACCTTTAAATTCCTTCTAAGAGAAATCTTAAATCTATCACTCATTGATTAATTTACCTGAGCCATGAAATTTTTTTCTTATATATAGACAAAAATACTTTTTTATACTCATTAACTGCCTGTGATGATGTATTTATTCAAAATTGATAATTTATTATCAATCTTTTCAATATAAACACTGATTTAATCATAAAAATTTGATTTCTAACAAAAGTTTAAGTAATGTTCCCATTGAAATTTGCATTTTTTTGTTTTTGTTTAGTTAAAGAATACATTTAAGTAGGTCTTAATTTGAACATCATAATTTTCAAGTTTTTATTTGTCAAACACACAAAAAAAACAAATTCTAAAGTTTTGTCAGAAATCAACTTTTATTAATGTTTGAATCACTGTTTACATTCAACAAATTGAAAATATCTTATTAATATTGAATAAATACAACATCACATGCAGTTTTGAGTATAAAATATGTATTTTCGTCTATTAGAAGATTTTTTTTTTTACTCAGGTAAATTAATCAATGAGTGATAGATTTCTCTTAGAAGAAATTTAAAGGTCCCAGAGAATAAACTACACACAGAACAATAGCTATTGTATTTATTCAATAGGACAGGTGAACTTACAAAAGTTTAAATACCTTGACCAGATAGAGATGGCACTGTGGAAAACTTTCATTGGGTTCACAATAACATGTAAAGTTTTCATCATTAATCCATAAACAAGAATATTCCATTACCTGACAAAGTAGGTTAGTATTTTGAAAATAAAACACTTCATTATAAAAATATTTTTAATTTTATATTTGAATATATAATGTATAAATAAATTTTGATTTTTTTTCTTAAAATATAAATGCATAATATAACAATATTTCAAAGACAAGTAACTATGGACCTTATTACTATATATACATATGCTAGAATTCCAAATCTAATAACAACTATTGCTTGATAAACTGCTTACAATTAATACATATTGTCCGCTATTTTTTATTTTACCATATTCAAAAAAATATGATATGAAATCATATTTCATTGGAAAATTACAATTTCATGTTAAGTAACTGATAATCACATCTAAAAACGCTGAATAAAACATATTCCTATAATCAAATGTATTTCCATAATCATATAATTTGTTTTAAATAATATAAAAACCAAACATCAATAAAATCAAATAACACTTAAAAATACATTTAACAATGTCTATGATTTTAGAGACAGGCATAACAGAGATTTGAACGAAAAACAATATATTTATCATACAATTTTGTTATATGAGGATGAACATGTAAATTAATATGTATTTGATAGTAGTCATAACAATAGGGGACTATATTTTTATAAATCAATCTTGAAAAAGTTTTTTTTATCTGTAAGCACTAGGTAAGTTATTAGTTATCACTTAAAGTGTTTTATGCTATTGTTACTATTCCTGGTATGATATAACTTATAATACAAATGATAAAAAGCAGTTTACAGTGTCTACAACTATAAAGGATGAAGAAACTATGCAAGCTTTCCATGTAGGAAATGTATCTAAAAGAACTATTCCAAATATGATTATAAAAAATATTGCACTTACAATTTGAAATGAGGTTGAATCAATGATTGAAAGTAAAGCTTATGTAGAATAATAAAAGGTGAAAGACTTGTGATAAATCACCACTGTTCGGATAAGAACCATATTTTGATTTATATTTTTGAATTTTCACATATTTTGTTTTTAAAAACTATAGCAAAAGAAGGTTACTATTTTGACAAATCATTGTTACTGGGTATATGGATTAACCAAAGCATGCTTTGATACTATTTTTGATGGATACTACCAGAGATGTACCAAATGATTAAACAAATCTAAATCCCTGAGGTGTAAACCTAAATGCTTATATACATCATTACAAATAGCAAAATAAAATGCATATAATGTTTATACAATTTGATTGGATAAAGTAAATGTTACATTATAAGATGATTGCACTTATTCTCAAAAATTACATCCATTCGCCTATCTAACATCAATCACATTCATTTACATATATAAAGTAAACTCAATGATGAACAAATTAAAAAAAAGAAGATATCACACGGCACTTCAGTTTAATAGTAAATTCTTACAAGTTGGCTTGTATAAAAGGTCAAATATAAAATTATTGTAAGGAAAGATTTATAAAATAGTGGAAATTTCCAACCATTAGCAAAAAGATCAAACGGAAGAACAGGCATTATGGAATGAGTATGCCTATAGATTTCGTTGTCAACAAATTTTTGAAACACTTTTGAACAACAAATATAGAGAAAGTTTTTTTTTTAAATTATCAGGGAAGAAACTTGATGGATAAGGTATTTAGATAGCACCTGTCAAGTTCATAATTTATTGAAAACAAAATCTTAAGAATATGAAATAGTTTTTTGAAAATAGCAATATTGAAAAAAAAACATCATATGGGATACAAGATTCTGCAATGACAATATTAAAATTTATAATGTCAAATCTGGATTTATAATCCCAAAACTGGCCTTTCCCAAAAATCCCTTTTGAGAGAATTTCAACGCAATTTTTCAATAAATCAGTATGAAAACATCTATTTCTGTACATAACAATCTTTGGGCATAAGTGCAATAGAAGTATTGCTTGTTTCCAATAAGGGAAAAAGTTGTCTTTTAAAGTGTTCACACTAAATATTCGATGTAAAATAATGATTGTTCTAACAAAATGAGAAAAATCAAAAACAAAAAACTACTAAAAATGATGATCAAGATGTGATGTTAGACTAAAAATGATGATAAATTGTGAAGAAAAAATAAAGACAGTGAAAAAAACAAGTTCCCTATTTCACATAATCACATTTATTCCTTTATACATGAATTGCCATTAAAATGAATCTGTCTGATATAATTAGCTACTGATATTTTCATATATATCATATTCACAGTTTTACATTATAAAACCCTGTATAAATATCCACAAATTAATTTACACCAAAATACCTGCCTTGTTTCTATACATCAGAAAACACCTGTGTTATGTTCTCTTATAAAGTATTTTCAGTTCGAAAACACATTTTTCATTCTTTTTTTTTTACAATATATCAGTTATTATATTTTAAAATTTACCTGTAAATTAATTACAATTGAGCAGCAGTCAAGTATTAAAGATCATTATTTTAAAATATATGCAATTTATTACTTTTTACTGATTTCACAAATCACTTTAAACATACTTTTGACATCGGAATATATAATATCATGATTACATAATTCAAAAAGCACATATTCAATGTCAATGTTTTCTTGTCTCTATTTCATTAGATGAAGAATATCTCTAATATTGGCACATGGGTTATATGGAAGCCCTCTTAGAGGAACATTTGTTAAAATTCATTTAACTATCCTAAGTCATCTATGCATTAGTTGACGGACCTCCACCTTTCTTCTGAAATAAAAATATTCAAAATAAAGCAAATAAAGCTTTAAAGCAACATTTAATTGTTTTCCATCTTTACAAGAACTGATTTTTATTGTATAAAATTATTGGCAAAATATTATACACAAGAACAAAATTCTAACATGTCTTCAGTGAAAATTTATTTATTTTGTCAATCAAGCATGTTAAAGCATCTCACCACAAAATGTATTATAGATAATAAACATTTTACTTCAAATTACAAAAATATCCTCATTAGTTCAATAAGTTATTTAGTTTTTATTCTTTTATTTAAGGAATTGCTCCTGCATTAATTTCTGGATTTTTATTTATTGTAATTTTAACTTTCAAATTGTCAACTTCCCATTTGTCAGCAGTAACATACTATATGCCCCATTGTATGGCATTTACACATCTCATTTAATACATCACACTCAAGCATAATCACACTATACAGATTTTATTAACAGAAATGTGCTCCTTACACAAAAAAATGCTCCAACAAAGTGATGTGAAAGGACGACTGAAATCATCACTACTAACGTTTAAATTTTTATAATCACCATTAAGAATTGCATGGTTGACTGATACAATGTGGCTGTGTCTCAAGTCACAAACCCCAAGTTTTCACGGTATGTTTAGATAAAAGATAGACATTTGATCTGTTTTGACCTATTGTGTCATATTCCCTGTTGTCACATCTAGACTGAATTTGGATTGTCATGTCGGTTGATGCATGTATAGCAGGAGGAGTGATTCCCTCAGTTTTTGTTTGTTACCCTGATTTGTATCTTCCTAATCAATTTATGAGATTTGAACATTGTTATGATTACCACTGACTTAAGTCCATATAAATAACCTACTTACTGAAAAAACTGGGTTAGGTTTTGTTTCTGCTTCTGGCCTCTTTATACGATACTGTAACAAGAAAAGTTTATTTATGACAAATGCAATATGAAATGTCTTACTTTTAATTTTGAGACTAAGCATTCACACTAACTGTACTAATCTACATTACAACGGCACATTTATCCGTATGAGATCACTTGTACCAGAACAAGAATATACATTTTATAGGACACTATGACCTTTGAAATGCTTATGGATAATATGTTAAGGCTATGAGTTTTTCTACAGATATTATGCTTGCAGTAATTTCAGTAATTTTCAGACACTTTGCTTTCCATCAATCAAGCACTATTAAGTCTCTTTTCACACAATTCACAGGTTTTATAGGTAAAACACATCTTCTTAACAGTCAGAAAACACTGACCGCACACCTTATGTCTGAACAGTACTAAAATTATGTCAGTCTACTGACCATGACCTATTACTTTTTTCCAGATTGGTTTAGATCAAAAAGGTTGTATCAGTTCAAAAGGGATATTTAATAACAAATGTACTTATCCTCAAAGTAAATTTTACGGACACACTTGAATGAAAATTATTGGTTGAACAAATTGTTTAAAAACCACCAACTGTTATATTTCGATTGTCATTAGGTCAGTAGTCCGGTAGATTTTGATGAAAATGATAAATACAAATTTCTTGATTAAGCTCAACACCAGTAAAGCTGTAAATTCAATTTAAAAAAAAAAAACGAATGCAAAAATGATGATGCACTGGTTTTAATAATAAAGTAATTATACAAGATTATAATGTAAACATCAATGAAATTATTGACATGAGCAACACATGTATATAAAACATATTCTCATAACAAAGGCTTCATTTGTCTTTAAAAAATAATTTAGCTTTTTAACTGTTCAAAATGCTACAATTTTTTTAACAATTCAATTCAATAACCATTACATTTTCTGATATGCTTACCTGACCATTTCCAGGTAAACTTTGGAAAATAAAATCCCATGAAAAATGAGCAGGTTTTCCTCCTTTATTGTTATCATATACTATAAAAAGATAACAGTAAATATAAAGTAAACAGTTCAAATTTTTCTTGCCTGTCTATTACATTCATTTACAAAACATAAACTTACTAGAGTGGGGTGCCCATATTCGTCACAAAAAACGTTTTTTTTTTTCATTTAGGGCCAACTTCATTTAAACTTCAGCAACTCATTATGCAATTTTCCAAACGTTAACTGTTTAATCAACATGTCAGCTGGTGAGGGAGTATCTTCAAAACATTCGTTTTCAGGTCTATTGATAACCTCAACTAAAGAAGAAATCGTGGAACCAGCAGACCATGGGGGCCACATTTTCACCAATAAAAAAACTTACATAAAATACTAGCTTACCCACTGTGCATGCATAATTTTATGTAGTTTAACATTGGCATGGTAAGTTTCCAGAGATGGTATGCATTTATATAATCTGTTTAATGGACAGAATACAAATATGTTAAACTACATAAAAATGCATGTCAATTGTTGATATTGACAATGTTCAAGCAAACAAATAGCGCAGACCTCACTCAAATCTTGAAAGGCATCAGGGAAACCACAAGATTTTTCCCCCATAAAAATTGCAAAACGGCATAAAAGTGTCCATGGTGAATATAGGCCCCCACTGTATGTCAATCACCTTGATAGTAATTATCATTCTTCATTCAAAATGTTTTCATTATTGATATATGTATAAAAATAAGGAAATGTGGTATAATTGCCAATGAGACAACCAGCTCTTTCACAAGCAAAAAACCCAAACTGTAAAATATAAGGGTGTACACCACAGGCAAGGGGGCACATTCTAATGCATCCACACAGCACAAGCAATAAACCCTGAAGTCAATATATAAATATTAAAAAAGATGTGGTATGGTTGATGAGACATGTTACTAAGAAGTGCTAGTCAAATCTATATGATGAACTTTCATTTTTCTTTTTCAACTTTGACCAAGGCTTTGAATGTTATAACTACAGTTTTAATGCTGTGTTCTTAGTGATTGTTCTAAAATAGTTGTAATCTGAATAGCTTAACAGGAATATTAAAACTGAGATGAAATTGAGAATGGAAATGGGGAATGTGTCAAAGAGACAACAACCCGACCAAAGAGCAGAAAACAGCCCCAGGCCACCAATGGGTCTTCAACACTGCATGAAAATCCCGCATATATTCGAATTTTTTGCACATACTTAATTCTGGAATAACTTTCATCAAAAACTTATTAAAATATAAGCATGTACACAATAATCATATATATTTTTAACCATATACATGTATATATTTTTTGAGAGATCAGGAGATGAAAATAAATTGTTGGCTACTGTGATCTTTAAGTATACATGGGGTAACTGGTTACTTGCTGATGTAACTGGAAAAGTTCATGTTATAATTAGTATTATATTTATAAAAAGCCTCATAAACTTTCAATTGAATTTAGCTCATAATTCATTAGTACATTCCACCATTGCTGAATGCTGAAATATGACATAATCTTAACCTTTTAAAAATCTGATTTGCAAATTACGCTTGAACTCAATTATTTGAATTATTTTTGAGATCATTATTTGCTTTATTTGAAATATCTTCTAATGCATTGACTTAATTTACCATAGGGATCTTTTCCCCTAAACATCTCATTATCATATGCTCCTCCTGAATCTAGAGACTCGTCATCCCAGCGACCATGGAATGCACCATCTGCAGGGCGATTCCAGCTATTGAATCGACCAGGTATAGCACCAGTGAAAAATCCCTCATGAGCAGGCATTGTTCTGTGGAAAAATAAATATAAATGACATTACTTTAGTAATATATTGTATATATATTCCATATAACATGGGTGTTGATGTCTTTATTTTCTATAATTTTACATATCTTAGTTAAATTCAATGTTAAATTTGATTGATTTTACTATTTTTTACTATGCATTCATGGTTGCATGTGATTAAAATTTATACCCTATTTTCACACAATATGACAATTTGTCAAAACAATAAATGGTATTGGTTTTAGTCATTACAACAACACAGTTCATGTAAAATTAAATAAAATATATATGTGCATTTCAGTTACATTGTTTACTTATTTTGTATTTGTCACAACCTTATTATTTAAAATTCCATAAGACAGGCTAATATTCAGGTTCTATATACGGTACCATTGCTACGATATAGGAATCAGTCAAATGTTCAAAATAAAATTGTTTCCCGATCTTTACATATCTTAATGGGTGAAGTGAACCAACATCCTGAAGAGGTCGACGTGTGGTAGCGGTAAAGTTAGGGTGGATACCTAGTGGTATTCAATAGTTGTCTTTCTATAGGTATACAAATTATAAAAAATAAAGACATCAACACCCATGTTATACCGAAATCTTTCGGTATAACATGGGTGTTGATGTCTTTATTTTCTATAATTTTACATATCTTAGTTTTTATTCAATTTTTAACTATTTTTTTCTATGCATTCATGTACACGTATACCTAACGACAAAATTATTTTCATTTACCTGTGTTTAAAGTAATTGCAAATGGCTGATATTTTTGTTCAAGCATATTGTTTTTCTTAAATTGTTTAACATTTCACAGCGGTATAACATGTTACTTTTATTATTCTTCCCTTAGTTTATTTACTTTGTATTTACGTTGTATCATAGATCAAATTTATTTGTTCAGTGTATGTTCACTGGTGTTAATATGTCTTTTTATTGAGTTAAGCCATTTCAATTGATATTTAATAGTGTGTCTTTCTATGTTGTGATGTTACACTATTGTTTCAGATCAGGGTGAAGGTTTGGTATCATTAAAACGTTTAAACCCGCTGTAATTGTTTGCACCTGTCCTAAGTCAGGAATCTGATGTTCAGTAGTTGTCATTTGTTGATGTGATTCATGAGTGTTTCTCGTTTCTCGTTTTTTATATAGATTAGACCGTTGATTTTCCCGTTTGAATGGTTTTACAATAGTAGTTTTTGGGGCCGTTTATAGCTTGCTGTTCAGTGTGAGCCAAGGCTCTGTGTTGAAGACCGTACTTTGACCTATAATGGTTTACTTTTATAAATTTTGACTTGGATTGAGAGTTGTCTCATTGGCACTCATACCACATCTTCTTATATCTATGGTTGCATGTGATTAAAATTTATACCCTATTTTCACACAATATGACAATTTGTCAAAACAATAAATGGTATTGGTTTTAGTCATTACAAAAACACAGTTCATATAAAATGCAAATCTATATACCTACTGTATTATACAACATAAGTAATTTTCATAGTTCTATTATAATCTCACCTGTCTAAATCATCATCTTCTAATGATTTATTATTATGACGTTTACTGTTATATACACATAGGACTATGATTAATGCTAGGACGATGAAAAACAAAGGAATTCCAACGCCAAGGCCTACTATCAGTGGGAAATTATCTGAAATTAAATAGTAACATTCAATTAATCATGAAAAAATAATATGTTAGGTGAACAAATTTAAATTGTATAATAAAATGATAAGGCATTATATTTAACTATAAAAAACAATGTATGAAAAACTTATCAGCATATACTTTCGTTTTTTATTTGCTGTTCATCAATTGCCAAACAAGTACACATAAAGTGAGCTATGAAATTAATTGTGGAAAAACAGATTTAACCAAACACTTTAATAAAAGATCAGTTTTTCATGATTTAATTGAAATTGTAATTAAAAGATTATTTGAACTGAAAGATTCATTTCTTCAGAACTTTTTTAAAAATGCATGTCACTGTCAAGATGCAGACTATAAGGTAAATAATATTATAACTGTTTTCTCTTTCTTCATATGTCTATCTGGTATCCATATGATAAATGACTTTTAAATGCCACCTTATATCTTATAATTCTCTCTCTTATTTTATACATGTATAAGCTTGCTGAGTGTGATACAATTTTTCTTTTGGTCACTCTTGATCTAGCAGTTTAGTGTTTGTGCTTTTAATTTTCAGTATCAAAATAATCTGGAGAGAATTTCCAATTTTTAGCAGTTTCTATACTTTTATTGGCAGCTACTTTATATTCTGTTCTGAAGTTCTAAATTGTTTGTATGTATGATTCTTCTTTATAAAACTTACCTTTACTCTCAAGTGGCCTAAAAACAAAAAAAGACATGTTTAATACTTCTTTAAAAGAGTATATGTTTGTAAAACAACATTATAACTTATCAAAGATTCCAGGCTTTGAACTAGTCTATGAATCACAGAATGCATTTATATTTAGAATTCTTGATGAAACAGGAAAAAGAAATTACTAATTGTTAAAATTAATCAGTTTAGAAGTGTAATGTAAAGCATAGCTTTAGGAAATATTTATCATTATAAAGAGTAGAATGATTTCCTCTTAACTAGTTTATCTGCTTGATATCTACAATGGAACTCTCTACCATCATTTGGTCTTAGTTCTTCTGTTAGTCTGATCTCCCAGTGAAACCTAATTCAAAATTTAATAAAATGGTGCTGGGCGCAGCTTGATACGACCGCAGAGGTCGAACCCTGAACAGTTGGGGCAAGTATGGACACAACATTCAAGCTTGATACAGCACTGAATTTGGATTGTGATTAAATATTTGACACAGCATAGGTTTCTGACACAGAATGAATGTGGTCTAAGAACTTTAAAAAATTTAATTTACCTATTCAAACCATATCATTATTACTTGCTTTTATATATAAATCAGAAATAACCAATTTAAAATGGAAAATTTAAAGAAAAAAAAGGAAAAAAAATCCCCCCTCAAAATTTTTGAACCCCCTTATGATTCATCACCCCCAAACTCAATCCCAGCCTTCCCTTTGTGGTATGGTACCTTGCAGTACAATTTCAGAGAGATCCATACACTAGAACACAAGTTATTGTCTGGAAACTAGAAAAATGCTTGTTTTTTTAACCCTTTTTGGCCCCAAATTCCTAAACGTTTAGGGCAATTACCCCCAAACTCAATTCCAGCTTTCCCTTTGTGATATGGAACCTTGTAGTACAATTTCATTAAGATCCATACACTTACACACAAGTTATTGTCCTGAAACTAGAAAAATGCTTGTTTTTTTGCCCCTTTTGGCCCCTAATTCCTAAAATTTTGAGGCAATTAACCCCAAAATCAATTCCAGCCTTCCCTTTGTGGTATGGTACCTTGCAGTACAATTTCAGAGAGATCCATACACTTGAACACAAGTTATTGTCTGGAAACTAGAAAAATGCTTATTTTTGGCCCCTTTTTGGCCCCTTATTTCTATACGTTTTGGGCAATTACCCCCAAACTCAATTTAAGCTTTCCCTTTGTGATATGGAACCTTATAGTACAATTTCAGAAAGATCCATACACTTACACCCAAGTTATTGTCATGAAACTAGAAAAATGCTTGTTTTTTGCCCCTTTTTTTGCCCCTAATTCCTAAAATTTGGAGGCAATTACCCCCAAAATCAATCCCAGCATTCCCTTTGTGATATGGAACCTTGTGGTACAATGTCAGAGAGATACATACACTAACACACAAGTTATGTCTGGAAGTTACAAAAATGCTTATTTTTGGCCCCTTTTTGGCCCCTAATTCCTTAACTGTTGGTACCATAACCCCCAAAATCAATCCCAACCTTCCTTTTGTGGTATTGAACCTTATGGTAAAATTTCATAGAGATCCATTCACTTAAACTAAAGTTAGAGTGCGAAAACCAATGTGTCTTCGGACGACGACGACGATGACGCCAACGTCATACCAATACACGATTGCAAAATTTTTTTGCGGTCGTATAAAAAAAACCAGATCCAAATCAGATGTTAAAAATTCAAATTGAAAAATAACTTTAGATTTTTTCACATAGATATAAGAAGATGTGGTATGAGTGCCAATGAGACAACTCTCCATCCAAGTCACAATTTGTAAAAGTAAACCATTATAGGTCAAAGTACAGCCTTCAACACGGAGCCTTGTGCATATTTAGTTAATACTTTTTTATTTCATTTTAGTACCATTAGAATAAAAAACAAGTTTTTTATTGATATGAAATTGAGATTTTAAAATTATTAGTATACTTACACGCAATATGGTACGCCATTACTATCCACAGAACATTCCTGATTTGTTGGACATGTTTGCAATGTGTTGAATGTAACACAAATAGTTGTAGATTTTGTAACTGTAGCTGTAAGATAAATTTCAAAGTATTGATATATTATTATCAAAGCAAATAAAACAAACATACTTTCAGTTTTAATTTATGTTGACATAAAGTTTGTTATCACGCAGATCTAAATTGTATTTAAACAAAAAAACTATGAATGTAGCAAATATTATATTAATTCATATAAAATGCATATAAATAGCAGTTTTATAAAACCATGCGATAAAATTTTTAAGTGTTAAAACATGTGGTAAGCATTGGTAATTTTCTAATCTCTAATCTATGTATTAGTTGAACTAAGTATTAAGAACAATTATTTTGTCTAATACTAGTAAATATAAATAGAATTTCAAATCATATTGCCTTAATTTCTATATAATTCTATTAATATTGATATTAGGAAAATAAAGGAAGAATTAATATTATTATCTTATCCAAAAGAATTATTGATTGTTGATTGCTTAGCCTAGAAGAAAAGAAGACAAGAGGCTTATGAGAGCCTGATATCGCTCACCTGTAATTTCAGTTTCAGGCATTTGACTTATTTGTAGATCTTACTTTGCTGAACAATTTTGTCATTTACACTTTCTCGCTTTCTATAATAATATTAAAAAATGTTACATAACCCAAAACTGTAAAATTTCCTAAAAATTAACTATTTCTGGACAGTAACCCAACAATAAGTTGTATTATTGTTCTAAATATTACTTGACAGGTAGATCTAAACCTGTTTAACACTTTCACCTATGTCAGTTTTGCTCTTACTGCTTTAGCTTTTGAGATGAAAGCCAAAAACTTCATTTGACCCCTTTGTTCTATTTTTAGGAACTGCCGCCATGTTTTTGATCATGTTGACTTATTTGTAGATCTTACTTAGCTGAACATTTATTGCCATTTATACTTTCGCTCTATCTATTATAATATTAAAGAAAATAACCGTAAACAGTAAAATTTAATAAAAATAAACTATTTCCAACAGTAACCTAACAATGGGTTGTCGAACTTGTCTGAAAATTTCATAACAGAAAGATCATGACCCATTTATCACTTAAACTCCCTTTCACTTTTGCTCTAACTGCTGTAGTTTTTAAGATATAAGCCAAAAACTGCTTTTGTCCCCTATGTTCTATTTTTAGCCATTGCAGCCATGTTTGTTGATGGATCAAAACTTCGGATATATTTATAAACTAGATACCCTAAGGAACATTCAGTTAAAATTTGGAAGTATTTGGCCAAGTAGTTTCACAGAAGAAGATTTTTGAAAAAGTAATAGACTTGCACAAAAAAATGTAAAAAATAAACATTTCAAGGGCAATAACTCCTTAAGGGGTCAATTGACTATTTTGATAATTTGACTTATTTGAAGATCCTACTTAGCTGAATTTTTTTGCCATTTACACTTTCTCTCTATCTTTTATAATATTAAAGATAATAACCAAAAACAGTAAAATTTCATAAAAATAAACTATTTCGGACAGTAACCCTACAATGGGTGGTCCAAAAGATAGATCTAGACTTATTCATCACTTTAACTCCATGTCACTTTTGCTCTAAATGCTATAGTTTTTGAGATAAAAGCCAAAAACTGCATTTGACACCTATGTTCTATTTTTAGCCATGGCGGCCATGTTTGTTAATAGATCAAAACTTCGGATACAATTTATAAACCAGTTACCCTAAGGAACATTCAGTTAAAGTTTAGAAGTATTAGGCCCAGTAGTTTCTGAGGAGAAGATTTTTAAATGTTAGCAAACATGATGAACAAATTGTGTAAAATTGTCTTTAAAGGGCAATAACTCCTTAAGGGGTCAATTGAAAATTTTGGTCATATTAACTTTTTTGTAGATCTTACTTTGCTGAACATTTTTGCAGTTTACAGTTTATCTTTATCTTCATAAATATTCAAGATAATAACCAAAAACTGTAAAATTTCCTTAAAATTACCCATTTAGTGGCAGCAACCCAACAATGGGTTGTTCGATTCGTCTGAAAATTTCAGGGCTGATAGATATTGACCTATAGAACATTTATGCACCTGTCGGATTTGCTCTAAATGCTTTAGTTTTTGAGATATAAGCCAAAAACTGCATTTGACACCTATGTTCTATTTTTAGCCATGGTGGCCATGTTTGTTAATAGATCAAAACTTCGGATACAATTTATAAACCAGTTACCCTAAGGAACATTCAGTTAAAGTTTGAAGGTATTTGGCCTAGTAGTTTCAGAGGAGAAGATTCTTGAAATAGTTAACGACGACAGACGACAGACAAAGACGGACGCCAAGTGATGGCATAAACTCACAATGGGCCCTTTGGGCCCAGGTGACCTAAAAAGTAGTATGGGTAATGAAGTACCGTTATTTCCTCCTGCTGTATAAATGGCAGCATTAGTGGCACCAGCTGTAACCGGAGTAGTTTGACCTGCACCAAATGTCAGTTGATCACCACCATTTACAAGATTATTAGTGGCAGCAGCAACCTGATTTTGAGCAGTTGTAGTTGTTGAATTCATTATGACTGCATGATTCACAACTAAACTTCCCTTGCTGAAAAAAATTATAAAATGTTCTTAAAGCTTAAAAATTTCAACAACCTATATCTCTTGTTATATCTTTATTGTTCTACATAATTATCTCACCATGCATGATGTAAAAAATATAACTTGAACTGTTACCAACACAGAAAAACAAACATGATGTATCATTTCTGAAACAAAAAGTTTATTTCATGAACATGATGTACTATGAAAAGTTTATTTCATGAACATGATGTACTATAAAAAGTTTATTTCATGTACATGATGTACTATGAAAAGTTTATTTCATATACATGTACTATGAATTTTAAAAAAATAAATGTGGATAGTGTCCACATGTGGACACAGATGATGCCCCCGCTTGCATATCATATAGTTATAAAGGGACATAACTGAAGAACAGTAAAAGTGACACTACCCAAATTTGAACTTGATCTGAGTTTTGTGTGTAAGTCTCATTAACATTTGGTTGAAGCTAACTTAAGTAGAGAACAGAAACTAAAAATTCCGCAATTTTTCTATTTATAAAGGGGCATAACTCAATAATGGTTAAAGTGACACTACCCAAATTCAACTTGATCTGTGTTTTATCAGTGGAAGTCAAAATTAAACATTGCATTGTATATAGCATTGATTGTAGTTGATTCAACTATAATCATGGACAAAGGAAGATAACTCCAATTTTAAAAATAACTTGATATTTAGAAGAAAAAATAAAAATTTTGCAATTTTTTCCATTTATAAAGGGCACAACTCTAGAACGGTTTAAGTGACGCCACCAAAATTCAAACTTGATCTGTAATTTGTGGTAATAAGCATTGTTTATAAGTTTCATAACATTTGGTTGAGGCAAACTTAAGTTAGAGAACAGAAACTAAAAATTTTGCAATTTTTCCATTTATAAAGGGGCATAACTCTAGGACGGTTAAAGTGACGCCACCAAAATTCAAACTTGATCTGTGTTTTGTGATAATAAGCATTGTATATAAGTTTCATCATAACATTTGGTTGAGGCAAACTTAAGTTAGAGGACGGAAACAACTAAAAATTTTGCAATTTTTCCATTTATAAAGGGGCATAACTCAGACAGTTAAAGTGACGCCACCAAAATTCAGACTTGATCTGTGTTTTGTGGTAATAAGCCTTGTGTATAAGTTTCTTAACATTTGGTTGAGGCAAACTTAAGTAAGAGAACGGAAACTAAAAATTTTGCAATTTTTCCATTTATAAAGGAGCATAACTCTAGAACAGTTAAAGTGAAGCCACCAAAATTCAAACTTGATCTGTGTTTTGTGGTAATAAGCCTTGTGTATAAGTTTCATAACATTTGGTTGAGGCAAACTTAAGTTAGAGAACGGAAACTAAAAATTTTGCAATTTTTCCATTTATAAAGGGGCATAACTCTAGAACGGTTTAAGTGACGCCACCAAAATTCAAACTTGATCTGTGTTTTGTGGTAATAAGCATTGTGTATAAGTTTCATAACATTTGGTTGAGGCAAACTCAAGTTAGAGAACGGAAACCAATTTTGGGACGTACGTACGTACATACAGACGGACAAGGGTAAAACTTAATGCCCCCACCGCTATGGCGGGGGCATAAATATCCTTTTTACAAGCTAGGATCTACAACTAAAATGTTATAATAACCCTTATAACTATTTTGTTATCTACTTAAAGAGAAGACTACTACAGCATTAATCTAAATAAATTATGAATTTCTATACTACTAGTATTAGTATTTTAAAAATAAACAAAGAAAATGAGAATACAATAAGAAATTTTTATATTCAGTCAAACATGGAATATATTCATTGAGATCATGAAGACCTGAGCAGAATTCTTTATTTATCTTCTTTACCAACAGGGTTCACACTCTTTTAGTAGCAAAAAATTCCAGATGTATCCATTATTTGACCTTTGACAGGAACAGCTGTAAATAAATTTCCTTTCTTACAAATCCCTTTAAAGACTTAAAACGATATTATAAAGGGAAATAACATGATTTTGACCATATAATTGAAATCAAAGGGTTGTTCCAGGATTTTAGCCATTTTCATAAAATTCACAATACACCAACAAACTGAAATGAAATGCCAGGCTATTACCTGCTCCAAATAAGGGTAGAAACCATGTTTCAAAGATGGAATTAAAAACGTATTTGATTCCAAGTCTCTGCTGTAGTGGTGTGGTTAGGTTCTCCTGCATGTTAATTTTAAAACCACCGGATCTGATGGTGGACTGGCGTGGTTGATGAGGAAAACCCTACCATGTGGTCCAGATATGGGATCCTCATTGAGGTGACAGATTGAAACTGGGCACCTTACGGCCTAAGGCAAAACCACAAGGTCTCTGAGGAGGTTTGGCCCCTAGATGCAAGGCATGCTAGGCCCACCGGTGAGTGGAAATGCCCTGGTACCTGCAAACCAAACCCCAAGCTATGGGTAAACAGCCGCACTGCCTTGTGGGTGACCTTGGCAGGTCAAAAGCTATTAGAGACAACCCAGAAAGAAACAGGACAGATGCAATATGCTAGCATAGTAATGCAATCATCTACAGAAAGGAATACTCCGAGAGAAAACCCGGCCAACCAGAGTAGAGGTTTGACATTGGGCTAACAACCCAACTGTGTAAAAAAAGGCTTGTTACAGAAACAAGAAACACTGAAGTCAGGGTGGAGGCCTTATGCAACTTCTGGCACGGAAAGAATTAAAGTTAAGGTAAGGAAAGATGTATTCGACTTGTTCTTGTACTCATCTGAACAGACTTTATCAAAACAACAAGAAAAAAGAACAAAAATCAAAATATACAAAGACAGTAAGTTTGTCCTCTTCATAGAGGGTCCTTCTTATTTCTTAAATAATGCTACGTGATAAATGAAGACACAGGGATTTTTCACAAACATGATAACTTCAGAATTCCTATTGGCATTTAATTTTCATATATTGTGATTTATAAAGACATTAGTATTGGTAACCGTTCTCATTAGACTATTTACAAATTAATCGAAAAGGAAATAGAAAGTATAGGTGAAACATCTCTTACCTTATTTTATACAAAACTACTTTAATGAAATTGTCTTTTGTTGCAGCTGAAGAATTGTAGTAAGTAGTCAGCTGAAAAATAAAAAATGATCTCTTAAAATGTTTTCACAAACTGAAACGGGTTCATTATGCTTCAATCACATTAAGATATTCTAATTTAAATTCATATTAATTGTTGTAATCAATGTTTATTCTATTTCTCCTTAGAAATGTATACTTACTCTTATGTTTTGGTATCATGTGTCATGACAGTAAATTGAAGGTCATCAAAATGTTCACTACCATAATTTACCAGTGTGTTTATGTGACTAATATTATTTTTCACATTGAATTTTTTTATGATTTTGATTCTGAATTGTGTAAAGATAATTTCAAATTATTTTCAATTATTTGAAGAGTATTTACGTGTAACATGTACATTTGTATAGTGAAATGTAGACACTGCATATGTCATTGAAACATACAAATGAAACTGATTGTCACAGAAGATCTAAGTGTAATCAGATTTATGAGGTTAATGTTGCTATGGCTTCTAAGACCACTGGTTTTTGGACGGATTCTTGTTGTTCAATTTTTAGACACAGAGCTGGTTTGTAGACTTTTATTTGTTCCATCATCTTTTTTACACTTGGTCAAGGTGTAGTCTTCTTTGAGTTATGATTCCCCTTACCGTTTTGAATTGTTCTTTTTTGATATTACAAAGGTGTAAAAGATCCCATTTTCCAATTAACTAAACAAAAATGTCTTTTCCAAGTCAGTTTTTAAAGCAGGTTGAAAACTATAATAAATCATAATGAGCAATCTCTCATATAATTATTATTCAATTAGGTTCTGTTGGACCAAATAAGACATTCATTGGCTAAATTGCTTATGAACTTACCACTAACAAAGTCTCATTAAATAATTGTTGATAGTACTCAGTATTTTCATTGGATAAATTTCCAGTTGGCTCTACATCTATTGTCAGGACTATATCTACTTTTAATTCACCTGTAAAAAAAAAGAATTACAAATATCAAAATATTAAAATAAAATATTATTAGTTATTTGGTATAATAGGAAACTTTTCACCTTTCAAATATGTACATTTTTTTTCAAATTATGATAATGAAAGGCAAAATGACACAATATTCCTTTGCTTCTGTGTAGTTCAGATTCTTAATGCTGACATCAGAGGATACTATAGGAACACTTTAAATGCCACAGACTGTGAGAGACAAAGACCAAAACATTGCTGATGTATTATTGGCTTCCAAGTCAATAAGGGCTATTCCAGAAAAAAACAATATAGAGGATTGGAAGGCACTTTTTATTAAAGCCCATCACCCATACAGTTGCATTTTACTTTGCATACATAAACACACTTGGACTCATTGACCAGTACATCATCATCGTGGTTGGCGGGCTGCCCAGCTGACCAATCTGGCCCTGAAAACAGCCATTGTGAAGACAGTAATACTTCAAACCAAACAACAATAGTAAACAAATGAAAATCTATCTACGTAAAACCAAAATGGCCACCTTTTTTCAGCTTAATGACAACAACAAAATATTTAAATGCTCACCATTTGCCTTTAGGCAAGGAGCCAACCGTGCAAGGGCTTATTACAGCCAGTCAAGATCGTTAAAAACTACCAAGTAATAGTACAAAAGTGTACAAATAAGCAGGAATTAGAAAACCAAAAGGAGGCTTAAATCTTATTTTTACAAAGGGGAAAGATGCTATATAACATCACATATTGTATGATATTCCTCAGATCATTAAAGCTTTTTTTAAATGAGAATTAATAAACTAGTGATTACATACATCAAACAAAACTCATGCATTCCATCTTATAACAATTTTAGATTTTCTTTTTAAACTGAAAATTATTTGATATGATAGAGTGCCACTACTTATAGGTTTCATAACAAGTGAGAATTGGATATCGCTTGATATCAACTCCGAGTTATTCAATTTCAATATAATAATAAACGAGCCATCGGCGAGTATATTATTACTATTTGAATTAAATCAAAATACTTTGTAGAAAATGTATAATAAAAAAAAAACTTACCAGATACAGGTGTATATGTTGTTGTTGGAACACTCACTGAAATAGAATATAACAAAATTAGTACTCCTTTAAAAAATCTTCAAAGACAAAAATCTCATTTTGGAGATTTATAAGCTAAAACTTAAACATGAGTGCACACACTGAAATGTCTTGTCTGCGTAATTGTCTTTGATTGAATTTACATTTTAAAAAAAACGGTATTTATATAGTAAAACAAAAACTTAAAATTATAACAATGATCCATGAAACGGAGGTCAACAGGCTGAATAAACCATGTAAGAAAGACATGTAGACTTTACTGTCATTATATACACCAAATACAGTTAAGCTGTTATAAATAGTATACAGATCTAATCACCAAAACTAATGGATGACCAATGATCCATGGAAATGAGGTTGAGGTCAAAAAAATATTGCAGGATGGACATGAACACCATGCAATCATTCCAAAATCAAATATAGCTGACCTTTTGCTAACAGTGTCTAAAAAAAGAACCTAATCACAAAAACTTAATGTTGACTAATGAATTTTAAAAATGATGTCGGGTAAATCCTGTTTGACATACATGTATACCTTGCAATGATTCCAAATACCAAATTCATTTGTCCTTTTACTCATAACTGCTTAAAGTCAATGGATAACTAGTGGCTCTCAAGAGCCTATGTCGCTCACCTGTATTTACTGTGGTTTTGGAAATCATGTAAAATAAGGTTAAAATCATAATAAATAGTATTAGATACCCCGATAATGATTGAGACCAAGTTTGGTTTAATTTGACCCAGAAGTTAAATTAAGAGCAGGTAATCCCATTGTAGTCTTACAATAGTTAATGAAGACCCCTTATCATTATTTAAATTAGTTTTCAAGTTGTGACCATTTGAAATAGTTCTTTTACAATTTTCCCATAGACTTCTATAGCAAACCCCTATGTTCTATTTTTAGCCATGGTGGTCATCTTGGTTGATGGGCGGGGTCATCGGATAATTTTTTTTAACAAGATACCCTAAGGATGATTTAGGCCAAGTTTACTTTAATATGGCCCAGTAGTTTCAGAGGAGAAGATTGTTGTAAAAGATTACAAAAATTTACTTTAAAGGGCAATAACTCCTTATGGGGTCAATTGACAATTTTGGTCATGCTGACTTATTTGTAGATCTTACTTTGCTGAACAATTTTGCTGTTCATAGTTTATCTCTATCTATTATAATATTCAAGATAATAACCAAAATCTGCAAAATTTCCATAAAATTACCAATTCAGGGGCAGCAACCCAACAACAGGTTGTCTGATGCATCTGAAAATATCAGAACAGATAGGTCTTGACCTGATGAACATTTTTACCCTTTAGTCAGATTTGCTCTTAATGCTTTAGTTTCAGAGATATAAGCCAAAAACTGCATTTGACCCCTATGTTCTATTTTTAGCTATGGCGGCCATCTTGGTTAATGGGCGTGGTCATCGGATACACTTTTAAACAAGTTACCCTAAGTATGATTTAGGCTAAGTTTGGTTTTATTTGGACCAGTAGTTTCAGAGGAGAAGATTTTTGTAAAAGTTAACGGACGACGACGACGGATAACGGACGCCAAGTGATGAGAAAAGCTCACTTGGCCCTTTTAGGCCAGGTGAGCTAAAAAACTAGTTTATTAAGCAGTCCCTGAACCATAAAAATGAGACCAAGGACAACAGACAAATGCTAGATGAGAACTTCGGAATATTAGGCATCTGTATGTAAAATATAAAATTCTTCTACCTTCTGAAATATAGAGCTTACAACGGCGCATGAAATTAGCACATCTTTGTCTCATATTCTGCTCCATTCTTCAAAAGTGAGACAAGAACCTAACCTAGTTCCTATTCAATTAAATCATTTTAGCACGTATCATAGGCAATTCAAAAGTCCTGCAAGCAAAACATAGCGGCAAAGCAATTGTGAACAGTGATTTGTTTAGTTACCTTTATATGCAGCTCAAGCACTATCAAAGTAACAATCCTGTAAATTGACTTACATGTGGATTTTAACAGCTAAAATATAGCTTTAGTAAAGCTCAAAACTGATATAATATCATTTAGCTTTACCATTTATCATATAGCTTAACATTAAGCAGCTTTGCAATAATCCTTATCAATACAGTAGAGAATCTAAAAATTCGATTTTGTTTGTTTTTAAGTTATTTACCAGGATATGATCTAAATAGTTGATGAAATCTTAGAAAGAAGTGTACAAGAATAAATGATTGAAAATTGAAAATGAACAGAAGTCCATTGGTTTCATTTTTCATTATTTCTCACAGTTCTTTACTTTTAAACTGATTCATATTGTAGTAAATGAGTGATGGTGAATTACTAATGTGTGTATAGTGCACACATTATGATATAAAGATCAGTATACATTATAATTGTAGTAAAATGATTGGTGGTGAATTACATAAGTGGGTATAATGTGCACACAATATAAGAGCAGTATGCAATAATGTAATATATATAACACTAGTCCAGCTCTGGCCTCAGTGACTTATTTTCATATTTTATTTTTTCTGTTGTCACTGTCAGTGACATCAGTGACAACAGAAAAAATAAAAAATGAAAATAAGTCACTGAGGCCAGGGTTGGACTAATATAACAGTAGCTATATTTACATATAATCAAGATTAAAATGGAAGTGATTTACAAAATCCTCTTCCATGAGTATACCATATCATAAATAAAAAAATAACTGAGTAGACATATAATTACTTGTGCAAATATTCCAATTCCATGGCTATTAACAGCATTAAACATTTTTGTTTTTACCAAGTCTTTGGGCGCTATACAATCTGTTTGATATTTATTATGGTTATATAAAATGTTGGATATTGGAATTAAGAATAGCCAGGTGGAATGACAGTAATGAGTATTTTTAGTAAATTTAGAGTTCATTCACTCAAAGTGATCAATGGATAAATGAGAAATTATGATTTAACACAAAATTTTGTTTAGAAAACTACTGAATATATTTTTTATCAACTTTCAAGAAAATGATATATGTGTAGCGAATTATTCACACTGTATAAACACTGTTAAAACTTAGTTATTTCAACTTCACTACTATTAATTATTAAAGTTAAAGTCAGCACATTCCTGAGTCTAAATTTATTGAAAAAAACAAATCAAAATTGAATTAATTCTTTTAAATAATTACGACAAAATGGTATGTATTTATGGTTCTAAATGAGTCTAAAACCCTTTTATTCATATCTTGTTAAATCAAATATGCAAAAAAAGTCACAAGACTGTCTGAAAAAAAAAAACTATAAAAGATTTTTTCAAAAATAATAACAACAGATTGAAAAAGGCAACAAGTACCAAAACAACATGCATTTGGGAATGCTAAAATTCTATATTCATAAATGATAAAATGAACAAGCTGTTCCATCTTGTCGTATTATGAATGAACCAAATATGGATATAATTAGAACAAACATATTTGTTTTTACCATTCAAGAAAAACTTTCTAAAGACACATGTAAGAATTAAACAAAGAAAGTGTTACTAGAATTCCAGAACCAAAAGTCTTTACCAATTTAAATCCATATTATTAAGTGCAAACACAGTTATACAAAGATACAGAATACAATGTTATTGAGAGGATGTGGGGAGTGCATACTAGGGATTTTACCTGTAGTTTTGGCAGCATTAGTGGCTATAAGTAAAACAAAAATCATATCATAAATATCAAAAACCTTTTATTATAGCTAATTACAAACAACATATAATTACAAATATTAAAAATGATTTTGAAATGTCAGTACATACAAATGTATAAAAATGATAAATATATATATTTTTATCACAATTACTTATGGTACATAACGAGAAAAGCCTACATTGTAACTTAATTGATTGTGAATTTTCAAACTATTCCCTTTATCAGCATCATTTTCCAGAAGGATTTCTATGTCTGTAAATTAAAAATTTTCTAAATAAATTACAATTTTCAAGTACAACAGTATGTGACAGAGCATCCAAAAGCATAATCCACATCTGTACTTATTCAAAACTAACAAAGTGATGCCCTCGCACTCCACTCTGAAGTAACTGTATTATAACAAAGTCAATGTAGGACTTTCTTTGAGATATTATTGTGTCTGGGAGACACAAATGAAGCCCTCACAGATGCAAAGTGTTATTTTAAAAAATTGAGTACATAGGTCTATGGTTCACTGTAGGAGGAGTTATGCGGAAACTATATGCACCTCTTATGCAAGTAAATACTGCAAAAAATGACAAAGTTCAACTATCTCCCAAAAGAGCAAATATTAATAAAAATCAAAACCCTGACCACATGCACACCTTCAATATATGTACAAACAGCCAGCAAAGTGAAAACTTCCTAGCATTCAAACTGTAGGAGAAGTTATCTGGAATAGCTATGCACTTCTTATGTAAGTATATACTCCAAAAATAACAAAGTTCAACTATCTCCCAAAAGAGCAAAGATCAATAAAAATCAAAACCCTGACCACATGCACACCTTCAATATATGTACAAACAGCCAGCAAAATGAAAACTTCCTTGCATTCAAACTGTAGGAGGAGTTATCTGGAATAGCTATATACCCATAATAGGACGGACGGACATAAGGACAGACGGACAGGGGTAAAACAATATGCCCCCCAACTTTCAGTAGCGGGGGCTTAAACATTTAACAGCCAATTTTAGGCAGTTATATATAGTACATATATTAAAAGATGTAAAATGCATCAGACAAAAAAGAATTAAAAAAAATTCATAAGGACTTTTTCATCAAATTTATCTCTTTAAAGATCTTATTGTCATTCCATTGCAATTTTCATATGAAAAGAAATTAAAATGTTTTTTTGATTTTTTTAAAGAAAAAAACTGTAGCTTTTTTTTGAAAATTTGAACTTCAATTCTTGGATACCTTCTGTAGTTGTGGCATCTTTGGTTGTTGCTCCTTGTGTTGTTGCTTTTTCAGTTGTTGTTTCTTGTATTGTTGCTTTTTCAGTTGTCACACTTTTTGTTGTGACAACCTTGGTGGTTGCTTCCGGAGTTGTTGTCTTCAGTGTGGTAACCTCTTGAGTTGTCACCTCTTGTGTTGTGGTAGCTTTTTTTGTTGTAGCTTCTTGTGTAGTGATTCCTTCAGTTGTGGTTTCTAGAGCTTATGTAGCAAAAAAGAATCTTTATAAATTCAAGCATTACATAATGTAAATAATGTTTTTATGAAGTGTAACAAACCTGTTTGTACCTAGAACAACATTGCATTTGTAAAACTTTTCCACTTCCTTCAGCAGATCATTGGATCTTCTTTTGTGTGTCACATTAACACTTTACAAAAATCGTTATCCATACTGCAGCAAAATTTTCAAAATGATACAAAGCGTATAAATAGAACTTACCAATATGCTGTCTTAACAGTATCAACAAAAATAATAAAAATCATAATATGAGAATACGTTTAACAACATAATGTTTGTAATATATAAATGACAAGCTAAATATTTTATCAATTTTGGCTCTGACAAAATTCCAAGAGAAATATTGGAAAGCTAATTGTGCAGATGTTTTCTTTCTTTTCTATCTGAAGTATAATGTTCTTTTAATGATCATTTAAACAACTATTTGTAGACATTGTTCATGTTTCTGTCCATGTACTACTCAATTTATTTGCAGGACTCATCATCTAAACAAGGATAAGTATTCCGCTGAATGTTATAGTAAAACATTTTACAAATAAAATAGCAAGCTAAATTAAATCATTAATTTCTTCTTTTTCTTTTTGAAAGATTAGATAACTCAGATACTGAACAATCATATAACTCCTAACTGACAATACCAAACAATATTCTATAAACACAAAAAGTACAAGCAATCTAAATTTGAATTTCAGAAGGAGGGAAAACACACAATTATAAGTTTGGGAATTGTAGGGTAATACTGTACTGTATACATACACACACCAGATTTAACAATTCCAAGACAATGATGAAGAAAGATGAAAGGAAAAGGTGAAATGATGTTTTAAGTATGAAATAAAAGTTCAGTAGACATCATCTTTAGATGACCCCCTTTCCATGAAGAGAAAAAAAACAATAAAAGACATTGAAAGAAAAATGCATTTTCTGGTCAAAGATAATTGCTATATTTTTTTTTCTCTCAAAAAATACTATTTCTGTAAGGACCCTTCAAAATGTTTATCTTTATAAGATAATTATCAATGAAAATATGATAAAAAGCAAAGATATCTTGTTCTTTAATTTACCATTATTATACGTTTTTTGTGTATGTTGTTTAATTATGATTCACATCAACAAAACCTGTATCTATTGATAATTTTTTATTGAAATTACGAAAATAAAGAAAAAATAGTAAACATTGAGTCAGTCACAGGGAAAGATTGTTTACACGAAAAATACTAAGATAAGATTTTGTGCAAACTTATAAGGCAAGGTAATGTGTAGGTTGATTAGGGAAGATTTTTTACCTGTAGAATGGACTGTTGATGATGTGGCTACAATGACAGGTATGTATACACAAGTTATGACAAAATCTTTCTAAACATATAAATATCTTATACATGTTATATACTTTTAAAAAATGTTGAAAGAGACTAAAACATAAAATGCAAAATTAACTTAAAGTGATGTGAAACTTATCTTAACCAACATAAATATCATAAATTGTGGCATAAAAAAGTTCAAAGCACATTGTCCTTTATTCAGTACAAATTAAGTGTAAAACATGAAACAGTAACCTAATTTCATAACAGAATCTTCCATAAAATGAAATCTGTTACAAACTTTGCATGAAATTAGAAACAGCTGGTATTGGCAATTGAGGAAATTCTTTCTTCCTTAAAGTAAGAGTTGAATGACTACGGAAAAGTTTCATTTTAAAGCTGTTAATGATAGAAACTTAGCTATTATTTTTGATAGGTGATTGAGCTCTTGAGATATATCCAAATATATAAACAGGGAAATATCAAGAAGAACTACCATTAAAATCTGAATTTGAAAGGCCTCTAAGGTTGAATTTAGAGAGAAACTAACAGTAGAAATTTGAATTCAGCAAATCACCAATAATCAATAAAAAGAGGAGAGCAGAGAGTGCTCAAGTACCTTCACTACTGGAGATATCAACTGTGGATATTTCTTGTGTTGTCACTCTAGAATCCTCAGTCGTCTGTGTACCAGACAGCATAGCTGTTGTGGTTTTAGTGTCTTGTGTGGCCATACTACTTTCTGTACTGGTTTCTGAACCTTGTGGATCAGTGATGTGAGTGGCAGTGGGACTTTCTGTGGTGGTTTCAGTACCTTGTACTACAGTGTTTGTTGTACTAGGGGCACTGTCTGTTGTTGTTTTAGTATTATTGATCGCCATGCCACTTTCGGTACTAGTTCCAGATCCTTGTGTTGTCATGTCTTGTGTTCCTGTGACACTGTTTGTGGTGGCTTCAGTATTATTAATGACTGTGACACTGTTTGTGGTGGCTTCAGTATTATCAATGACTGTGACACTGTCTGTGGTGGCTTTAGTATTATAAATGACTGTGACACTGTCTGTGGTGGCTTCAGTATTATCAATGACTGTGACACTGTCTGTTGTGGCTTCAGTATTATCAATGACTGTGACACTGTCTGTGGTGGCTTCAGTATTACTAATGACTGTGACACTTCCTGTACTTGTTCCAGATCTTTGAGTTGCAGTGACACTGTCTGATGTGATCTCTATACTCTGTGTGGATAAATCACTTTTTGTTGTGATTTCAGTGGGTTGTATGGTTGTGACACCTTGTGTTGCTGTGTTTTGTGTGGAAGTACCACTGCCTGGTGTAGTTTCGCTTTGACTAGTGGCTAGATAGCTTTCTGTGGTAGTTGCAGAGGTTTGTGTTGCTGTGTCTTCTGTGGATGCCTTGCCACTTATTGTTGTGCCAGTATTCTCTGTGACAGTCAAACTTTCTGTCGAAGTTTCGGTATCATATTTTGTTGTATCACTTTCTGTACTGGTTATTGTGTTGGATAAATTTTGTGTTGAAGTGTCTTGTGTGACAGTGACAACAACCATGGTGGTTTCAGTAGTTGGTTCAACTCTTCCTGTTGTTTGAGTAGTTCCAGATGTAGTTACAGCTTCAGTTGTAATAGCTAGATATGTTGTGAATTATTTAAATCATTAAAAAAATAAGTAATTAGACTAACAATGTATCGAGACTTGAATGTTTAATATTACAAATATATGTCTAAATCTCTACATTACAGAGTGCTTAAAAATCATTACCTCGAAATTTTAATGTAGCTTCTTAATACATGTTTAGAATATCTCAATTAAAACTATTCTAACAACTTAAATGTCAGTACAAATACATTCCTGGTAAGTGGTAATATAGGACTTATTATACCACTACTTCCCAAAAAAGTGGAAAACTAACAAAAGCAAAATAAAGAAGTACAGTTTATAAATCAAATGCTTATTAAGCAAAATAAGATGTGCCTTTGCAGCATTTTACAAGATAAACTAGTATAAACATCACAGAGAAAGTGAAAATCAAGTGTAGTTTTGAGGCCAATCTTTTCAGCAAAATTATGAATGCTTTTGCTTTAGCTGTATATATAACATAAAAAAAAAAATTTATTTTGACAAACTTTTATTTCATGTAGTATATGTAAAAAATAAAATATTTCACAAACAACTCGATAAGCAAATTTTCCAATTTAAAAGATTCTGAGACTAAAAAAAAAATCTAAATGGTACAAAAATGAATACAATTAATTCTTAATATATACTAACCTGTGCAATTCAGATCGCCTTGATCAGTATACCCTGTGTCACAAACACAAATATAACTGCCATCTGTGTCAACACAGGAAGAATTCTCTGTACAGTTATACAAAGCACTATTTCCACATTCATTAACGTCTACAAGAGTACAAATTTAATGTATTTTACAGTTTCCAATACAAAATGATTCACTTAAAAGTAACTAGAAATGAAGGTAAAACTTATATGCCTGAGTAAAATTAAATACTGTAAATTCAGAAATTATTGTGAGGTTTTTATTAATGCGTATAATTTGACTAGGAGAGGATCGCAATAATAAGAACTAGCATTCTGATATCTGATACATAATATCTGTATGCAGATTTTCCTGAAATCACAATAATTAATTTAACATTTTTGTCCATTCTTCAAAAATTGCAATAATAAATGCACGCAATAATTTCTTCGGCTTTTAACGTTGTATCATCAATTTCAAACATATAATAGATAATAATTAATAACTCTTATTATTACATAATATGAATTCACCCTCAGTAAGAAGGTGGTTATTACCAAGTTTTTGTAAAATTTTGAAACTATACAAATGTCAAATTAATAGCAAAATGAAGTAAATAAATATCTTTAATAAGAACACCCTTGGTATTTTCTGCAACACTGATATTTTTAAGTAGAGACCATTATAAGCTATGTTGAATGTCATAAAAAAGGTTATCTTCATAAGACTGGAAAAAATATTCACATACAATGTATAAAATTAGTTACTAAAAGGAGATGTATTCCTTATTTCCAGACTTCCTTAAATTTACAGGCTCTGAAGAGCCTGTGTCGCTTACCTGCATCTTCAACAATTTCCACTTTTTTTGTAAAAATCACCATTAAAGGGGAATAACAGTATTAAGAATTACCTGACAATTTCAGCCATGTTGATGTATTTGTGGATAATTTATCTTTTTTTAAAGTTTCTATTTATCTATTATAGTTTTCAAGAAAATAGACAAAAAACACAAAACAAATGGTAAAAACTATCATTAAAGGGCAATAACTCCAATAAGGAGTCAATTGAAGATTTCGATCATGTTGGCTTATTTGTAGATCTTGTCTTGCTGATCATTTTTTGCTTTTTAGAGTTTCTATCTATCTATTATAGTTTTCAAGACAATAGAAAAAAATGAAAAATTTGGAAAATCGTCACTAAAGGGCAATAACTTCAATAAAGAGTCAACCAACGACTTTGGTCGTATTGGTCGTCTAACTTATTTATAGATATTGTCTTGCTGATCATTTTTTGCTATTTAAAATTTCTATCTATCTATTGTAGTTTTCATGATAATAAGCAAAAACGCAAAAAATTGGGAAAAATCTTCATTAAAGGGCAATAACTTTAACAAGGTATCCACAAATAATTTCGATCATGCTGACTTATTTGTAAATCTTGTCTTGCTGATCATTTTTGTTGTTTAAAGTTTCTTTCCATCTATTATAATTTTCAACATAATGAGCAAAACTGAAACTAGAGGCTCTCAAGAGCCTGTGTCGCTCACCTGTATTAACTGATGCTTTGGAAATCATGTAAAATAAGGTTAAAATCATAATTAATAGTATTAGATATTAGATATTATAATGATATCTAAGATAATAACAAAAAATTGCAAAATTTTTGTAAAATTACTAACTCAGGGGCAGCAACCCAACAACGGGCTGTCGGATTCATCTGAAAATTTCAGGGCAGATAATTCTAAATCTGATGAACATTTTTGCCATCTGTCAGATTTTCTCTAAATGCTTTAGTTTCAGAGATATAAACCAAAAACTGCATTTTACCCCTATGTTCTATTTTTAACCAAGTCAGCCATGATGGTTGAAAGGCAGGGTCATCAGACAATTTTTTTTAACTAGATTATGATTATGGCCTAGTATGGTTAAATTTGTCTCAGTAGTTTCAAAGAAGAAGATTTTTGTAAAAGATTACAAAAATTTACGAAAAATTGTTAAAAATTGACTATAAAGGGCAATAACACCTAAAAGGGTAGACTGACAATTTTGGTCATGATGACTTATTTGTAGATCTTACTTTGCTGAACATTATGGTTGTTTACAGTTTATCTCTATCTATAATAATATTCAAGATAATAACCAAAAACTGCAAAATTTCTGTAAAATTACCAATTCAGTGGCAGCAACCCAACAACCGGTTGTCAGATTTGTCTGAAAATTTCAGGGCAGATAGATCTTGACCTGATAATCACTTTTACCCTTGTCAGATTTACTCTAAATGCTTTGGTTTCAGAGATATAAACCAAAACCTGCATTTTACCCCTATGTTCTATTTTTAACCAAGTCAGCCATCTTGGTTGGTTGGCGGGGTCATTGGACAAATTTTTTAAACTAGATACCCTAATAATGATTATGGCCAAGTATGGTTAAATTTGTCTCAGTAGTTTCAAAGAAGAAGATCTTTGTAAAAGATTACCAAAATTTACAAAAAATTGTTAAAAATAGACTATAAAGGGCAATAACTCCTAAAGGGGTTGACTGACAATTTTGGTCATGACGACTTATTTGTAGATCTTACTTTGCTGAACATTATTGCTGTTTACAGTTTATCTCTATCTATAATAATATTCAAGATAATAAACAAAAACTGCAAAATTTCCTTAAAATTACCAATTCAGGGACAGCAACCCAACAACAGATTGTCAGATTTGTCTGAAAATTTCAGGGCAGATAGATCTTGGATCTTGACCTGATAATCACTTTTACCCATGTCAGATTTACTCTAAATGCTTTGGTTTCAGAGATATAAGCCAAAATCGACATTTTACCCCTATGTTCTATTTTTAGCCATAGCGGCCATCTTGGTTGGTTGGCGGGGTCATCGGACACATTTTTTAAACTAGATACCCTAATGATGATTGTGGCTAAGTTTGGTTAAATTTGGCCTAGTGGTTTCAGAGGAGAAGATTTTTGTAAAAAGCTAACGACAACGACGACGGACAACGGACGCCAAGTGATGAGAAAAGCTAACTTGGCCCACTGGTGAGCTAAAAAATTGGTTGATTGTGGCCAAGTTTGGTACCAATTGGCCAAGTAGTTTCAGAGGAGAAGATTTTTGTAAAAGTTAACAGACGCCAACAGACGACGACGGACACCAAGTGATGATAAAAGCTCACTTGGCCCTCTGGGCCAGGTGAACTAAAATCAGATATAAAATTAATTCAACCTTCTAATTCATATTCTTTACCTCAATCAATTATTAATAGTTCAGAGTAAATCTGTTTTTTTCTTTGTTACATATGCTGAAACAACTTTATCTAAAAAAAATTAAAAAACAAGTTGACAAACAAAACTTACTGTCACAGAGATCAGAAGCATTTTTCTGATATCCAACATTACAGACACAATCGTAAGAACCATTTGTATTCTGACAAGTTGTAAGGGGAATGCTGTCACAAAGTGTTGCATTAACACATTCATCTACATCCAAATCACAATTGGTTCCATTCCATTCATTTTTGCAAGTGCAACTACCATTTACATTGTTACATTCTAACGTATTGGCAGCAATACAAGTACAGTCCTGAGAACAGCCATCTCCATACTTTGTACTGGCACATTCTGAAAAGAAAGACATTATATAAAAAAAAACAGATATTTTGTCATGCCAGGGACTTTTATATCTTACGATACAGTATGGTTTTGCTCATTGTTGAAGGCTGTATAGTGACACAAATTTGTTTACATTCTCATTCTCTTAATCTCTGGTGGAGAAATGTTGTCCGATAGGCAATCATAGCACAAATTGCTTATTTTTGTATCAATTAAATTTAAATATAAGTTTTAGTAGAGACAATGGTATGCAACATTAAATGTCAAAAAAGAAGTTTTTTTAACAATCAGAATGAAAAAAAAATCATCTAAAATGCATGAAATGAAAAGTATTCAGATAGTAAAGTTATTTCGTATCACTTGTTATTCAGAAAAAATGTCATTCAAAATGTAAAATTCACCATATAAAAATAAGGAGATGTGGTATGATTGCCAATGAGACAACTATCCTCAAGAGACCAAGAAACGAGGAAAAAAACACCAATAGGGCACTGTTAGGCCTTTGACAATAAGTGAAACCCAAACCTTATGATAAGCTATAAAAGGCCTTGCATGAAATCATGTGAAACAATTCAAAAAGAAAACAAACACTGTTTTAGGCTAATAACAATAATTGAAAAACAAATAACACACAGAGTCACAAACAACCAGTGGGACAGTGGTGTAACAGCTCAACATAAGAACAAAAGAACAAAATATAATGAGTAAATAGCTGACACTACCAACTGATGCTCCCACAACTTGGACAAAGACTTAACTACCGGTAATACAAAACATTGTTTGTTCAAAGGTTCAAAATACATGAATGCTTAGAGGGGCAAATAATTATGTACTATCATTCTTAATTGGGAAAACCTTTTACGAGTATTTTTTTTTTTTTTAGTAACAGTGCTTTGACCTTTGATTTATTGACCCTCAACAAACTTACTGTCACAGTGATCAGAAGCATTTTTCTGATATCCAGCATTACAGGCACAATCGTAAGAACCAACTGTATTCTTACAAGTTGTAAGGGGTATGCTGTTACAAATTGTTGCATCATCATCACATTCGTCTATGTCCACTTCACAGATGGTTCCATTCCATCCATTTTTACAAGTACAACTACCATTAACATTGTTGCAGTCCAGTGTATTGGAAACAATACAAGTACAAGCCTGAGAACAGCTGTCACCATAGTTTGCACTGCCACATTCTGAAAGTTAAGACTATATATTAATACCAGATTTCACCACTGATGTACTGAATATATTTTTATAAATACCTCCAGAAAAATACACTCTAAATTGTGTATTGTATAAACAATTATCTCAAATTTAAGTTAATCATTGCAGTAGAACAACTACAATGCATTTTTTACAGTGATAAACGAATACTAAGAATATACAAAAGCTGCAATAAACAATCACATGACTTAGACAGTCAGCTGACAACATCATGGCTAATAGAATGACAACTGCCTAAACTCTTCAAAACAGAAACTAAACATGCCAAAGGTTTTGAAATAGATGATAGGTTTGTATAGAAGTAATGCAAATCGAACACATCTTTGATTATCTGTGATACAAATAGTTCAGAAGGGTTAACCAAGTTATGATGGTGTATGAAAATTTGAAAAAGAAATGACTTTAAAATTTAATTTTGATAAATTCATCTGATTGAAATTTGTATGCATTGAAAATTAATCTCCATTTTCAAAAGTTGCACCATCATTTATGCTTAATATTTATTTGTTCGTGTAAATTGGTTATTTATCTTAACAATATACATTTCAAAACTCCCAAAAATGATACCATATATTGGACTTTGACATTTGTTTTTCCCAGTATTTCAAGTGAGGGGTCATCAATAATAGCTACTTGAAAATATCAACCTACCTTGGCAACTTCCATCAGCTATTTTCTGGTAACCAGTCACACAATTGCATTCATGGGTACCATTTAAATTGTTACATTGAGAATTAGATGTAGTGTTACATATATAAGGAGTATGTGTGCACTCATCAACATCCTCAGAACAGGTAGTTCCATTCCACCCAGTTTTACAAGAACAACTGCCATCGACATTGTTACAGGAATCTGTATTGGCTACATCACAGCTACAGCTCTGGGCACAGTTTTGACCAAATGTGTTGGAACCACATTCTGGAAAGGAAATTGATTTTTAGGTCAGAAATAGGAGATTAATATTTTACACTAAATGCCCTTATCTTATGGTCTGGAAAAGGAGCCTTAATTTCTGTATTTCCTTATTTTTTATGCCATTTTTCTCTATTCTTTATTGTTGTTGCCCATTACTTGCTTCTATTTATATTTTAGCACCCCATTATTCTCTACTCTTTATTTTTGTCCATTATTCTCTAATAAATAAAGCTTATCTAGACCCTCTTGTCTGGTAGATTATATACTTCCTGTCAATATCAGAAAATATTGAACCAAACATTTGAAGTTAGTATTCCACTAAAAGGCTGGTACAAAGCAATTACGGATATTAAAATCTTCAATATAATGTGTTTTTTTCTAAAAACTAACCTATACAAACATCTCCAGAGTTAACATAACCATCATTACAGACACAAACATAGGATCCATTGGTGTTTTCACACATGGAATTAGCCTGACAAATTGCTGTGTTGCTTGTTGTGTTGCTGCATTCATTAACATCTGATTCACAATTACCACCCTCCCAGCCAGTTTTACAATTACAACTTCCATCTGTTTTATTACAAGAATTGGCGTTTGCTATCACACATGTACAGTTTTCAACACAGTTTTGTCCCCATTCTCCTTCAGCACAAGCTAAAGAAAAGATCGAATTTAGTTTAGTATAGATCAACACCATGGAATATGTTGTATTTTAATTTCACACAGATATACACATATATTAATATCAATAATTTTTAATAAATATTTAACTACATGCATTAACTTAAAGAAAAAATATGAATGTATACTTAATACAATGTTCAACTACTTTTTATCTGTTTATTTCTAAACATTCTTTCTACATTGTGTTTTTTTAATTTACATTTTTTTTAACAATAAACAAAAGAAATATAAATTTTCACTCCACACAATAGTATACAAACCTGTACAACTCTGTTCATCACTGTCCAGTTTTGTACCATTTTTTGTACAGGAGCATTCATACCCTGGTGTTTTATCTGTACACTCATTAGCACATGGATTGTTTGGCTCACACTCATTGATGTCTGAAATATTTAATAAATTTACCATTTTTTAATATGTGAGCTATATAGATACTGCTTTAGAAATTTTTGTTGAAATACACTTTTTCAGATTTTAATCAATTACTATTAGTTTTTAGTTTTTTTTGTTCTTTGTTTGAAGTCATTACAATGAAATTGGTGAAGAGATTTATTATGATTAATGCATTTTAGATTTTATTGAAATCAATTTTTAGATTTTATTGAAATCAATAGACTCTTTCACATCAGAGTTCCTTCGTGTCTTGCAAACTTCATGACTAATTCCTGTTATCATTTTTTGAGAAATGTGTAGCATTTTTTACAATGAATGTCTAGAAATATGTCTAAACAGTGTCTATTGTTGAAGACTGTGTGTTGCCCTCTAAATATCTGTTGGTTATTTTTGTCGTTGAGTTGCTGTCTTATTAAGGTATATCCCACATCTCCTTTTATTCATAAGGATTATTATCATTCACCATTACAACTGTAATTTATAATCATAATGATGGATTAAGTTTTAATAATAATGTAAATATTATCAGTCATATCAATGGAGCACATTTTCAAATCTTAACTGTCTAAAATTACTAAGCATGTGAAATATAAAAAAACATACTTTCACAGATTCCAGTTATATTATCAGCCATCATTGTTAGATTGTATCCTGTTGGACATGTACAGTATTCCAATCCATCCGATTTGACAGCACAAGTTCCTGGGTCAGTACAATTGGAATCGGAACATTGGGTCTTAACTGAAAATTAATTAAATAGTAAATCATATATAAATAGTGCAATGCATACACAAATTTGTGGTCATATTTCACTTGAATTTTTCATATATGATTGGTGCATTAAAATTTCAAAGCCCTTTTTGATAAATTACATTATACAAATCTTATAATCATTTTACTGGTATCCAGAAAAGGGTAAAATTTATTCAAAACAGTAAAATTTATTCAAAACACAAGTCTGACAATTTAATCAATTTTCTACCTTTTAACAACTGACATTAAATACTTTTAATAAAATAGGATAATATGAAATGGGAGTTAATTCTAATTTCCAACTATGTAGTTGACAAAGTGGAGCAGGAATTCAGGATTTCTGGCAAAGAAAAGTTACTTGTGCATGTCCTCTGGTCTGTTGGACTGAGTATGTATCCATCATTACAAGAACATTTATAACTTCCAGGAGTATTAAGGCAGTTCTGGTCACACTTGTTCAAGGTTGTGTCACATTCATTGATATCTACAAAATAAGATTTCACATTTCTCTCTATGTGTTAATCTATTTAAGCAACCAATTTAAACAATTTTCAAATTTATTCTATTTGATGTTTTAACTTTTTCTCTATCAAGATGTCTTTTTATTCAAATAATGAGAGAAAGTAACTAAAAAAATGTATACTACTTCTCAATTTGCAATTTCAGAATCTAAAAGACTATGGGTTATTATATTGTTTTCTCCTTAATGAAAATAATGTCAAGTCATTGGTTTAATTTATATTGTTCAGGACATTGCTAGTCAATCATACAACATTTTGGTGAATGCTTTTAAAAATATTACCCAGAATGCATTTGATTCTGATATGCTGAACTGATGAAGAATTTTATAACAATTAACTAAATATTCAGTATTACCTTGACATTTCTCATTAGCATCTTTTGTAAAGCCGTTTCTGCAACTACATGTATAGCTACCATCTGTATTAGTACATAATTGATCACATGGATTGTTATCACACTCGTTTATATCTGAAAGAAGTAATCAGTTTTTACTAAGAGCTCTCTTTAAAGGCCAATAAACTCTCAGACTCCAGCCCTTTACATGAAAAGACATACCCAGTACTAAAATTTTAAACTGGATTCAATCATTTCTACATTTGAATGATCATTAAACATCCAAGCCTTTGTCCAAAAAACTTAAAATGAACATGAGCACAATGTCACAATTAAATTCACAAAGCCACCTACACTATAATTTGTTTTGTAATGTAGAAAAGACTTGAAAAAATTGTATTACTTGACGTTTTATGGTTTGATGGTATTTGGTTCTATTCAAGATTAGTAACTTCATTGTCATTTAAGAAGACATTTATTCTTGGATTTACAACTAAGAGATCGGAACATCTTAATAACAATATTCAAATTCAAATCTGTTTTTTTTTTTTCATTTACCAGTACAGGTTCCTGTTCCATTCTGATAACCAGTCACACACTTGCAAACAAAGGCACCAGGTGTGTTGACACATATTTGGTTGGCAGAGGTATCACATGGGTTCCTTATATTACACTCATTGATATCAGCATCACACTTGGTCCCCTGCCATCCTGATTTACACACACATCCAGTAATTCTGTCACACCTCTCTGCCCCAGTGCCACAGTTACATGTATTATTACAGTTATCACCCCAGTGAAACTGATCACAATCTGAAATGTACATAAAGCATTATGTCACTAATATTTCAGGAAATATATTCTTTAATTCAATTTTGATAACTGAATCTATTTTCTCCCAATGGATCAATTGTATTTATACTGTAACAACAGCAGATTGTCATATATCTCATTTTAATAAAAAAAAAATATAGATTAAGTTTTTTTTTATAAATATGTTGTACTCACTTGAACAAGTTCTTTGATCGTTCTCCAAGAACTGACCAATTGGACAACTACATTGGAAACTTCCTGCTATATTGGTGCAAGTTGTCTTATCTGTACACAGATTTTTACTGTTATCTGCACATTCATTTACATCTACAAACAAAATAAACATTTCAACAATACAGCATTGCTAGAAATAAAAGAAATAGAACATTTAATACATATTGTTTGTTCCATCTCATTATGGGATATCATCATATTTCCATACATTAAGGAACCTCTAGCCTTTGTTAGTCGTGTTTGTTTTTTTAATTTTGATTCATTTGTATGTTTCGGAGTTAAGTGTGGTGTCCATTTTGCTGAACTAGTATACATTATCGTTTAGGGGCCAATTGAAGACTCATTGGTGGCTTTGAAATGCATTTTGCTCTTTAGTCAGGTTGTTGTCTCTTTGACACATTCCCCTTTTCCATTCTCCATTCTATCAACATCATTTTTGCTTAGCTGAACACTAAAAAGTCCTTTATTATATGAATACATAGTTTAATATCTGTGACCATCAATGTTATAATTGACACTGGTAATTTTAAAACCTGCAAAATTTGATTTCCTTTACATAAATATGAGTTGTCAAACAAATTAAAGTCATGTGCCGTTACATAAATATGTCAAACAAAGTCACATGTCCTTCTACAGGAACTGAACCAGAAAGAAACAAAATTGCATACAAACCATCCTTTTAATGATTACATATACATAAACCAAATTAATCCTCATTTACAGGTATCAACTGTCATATACAATAAAACCAATTTACAGTGATTCACCTGTACAAGTCTGGTTATCAGCCTGTAGTACATATCCAGATTGACAATAACAAAATGCTGTGCTTTCTAATAGTCTGCATGCATAACTACAGGTCAGGTTACTCAGGGTACCACATGGATCAGACACTAAAAATGGAAATCATATACAACTTATTTTCGTGAATACTTAATTTTGCGTTTAGCCCTTTCTAGTCCTTTTCTTAACTCAACTAAAAAGGTAAAAAGTATCATTAGAAAGCATCAGAGATATTGTGGTAGAAAAGTTCATAAAATCTTCAGTTCTTTTTTTAAATGTTGAATATAATTAATAATACAGAAATGTTCTGCATGATGATATTGCAGAGATGTCGTAAATATTACATAATTATACTGCATTTTCACAGTTGTTTACATATTTCTGGAATATCCAATACATCTAAAAATGTAAAATAATCACTTGTATTTGAGAAAAGCTACAAACTGCATTGCAGGACGATATTGCTATATGTAGCAATAATTTACTCCTTGTAAATAAAAACTGTGGAATAGACTGTAATATCCATAACTTGCAATAGTTTTCATTTTGTGTAATCAGGCCTCTTTCTCATCATTCAAGTAAGAGTTTAATATACAGAAACTTATTTAATTATACAAAAACTAAGTAACCTACCTTGTTTGCAAGTTTTTCTGTCAGTTTTGATTTCATAACCAAAAAAACATCGACAGTTATAACTTCCCACAGTATTGACACAGTCTTGTTCACAATCATCAGACTCTGTTGTGCATTCGTTTACATCTGTAGTATATTAAAGTCATTTTGAATTAAGAATTATTACTACTAAATAAGTTAAAAAGCAAATACATTGTTTTTTGTATATTGCCAGTGGTTGTTGTGTGTCTTATCTTAATAAATTTTTTATTTTATTAAGAAAATTTGGTGTAAATGGCAGATATCTTTCATTGTTTCTGTGTTTATTCCCAATTTTTATAGATTTGGATGATTTTGAGTCTGAAATACTGTATAATCACCAGTCTATTGTTGAAGGTTACGTTTCTCTCTAGGAGGCTTTTGGGTTCTTTTTGTCATTGGGTTGCTTTCTTATTGGTGTATTCCCCAACCTGATCACATTTTTTACTAAAGGCGATAGTTATATATTAATTTTGACTTTTTATACGATAATACAGAATATCCATAAAATTGGGTTAGTGACAAATACCAATAATTGCTACTGTGAAAGTACTTTAATTCGTGGGCATCAATTTTCGTGGTTTGAGCAAAAGTTACATGTTCGTGGGTTTTTAAATTCATGGATCTTAGTTTTTCTGAAGAAAAAACAAATTGAGTGAAGAATTGTATTGATCAGAAATGAAGATCATTTATAGTAACCATTTGATGTTTTATAATGATTTGTGGACATTGCAAAACAAGGTGTTCCTTTTCACTTACTTGTTCGTCTTTAACTGACAACATTAAAAAAATTTGAAATAAAATAATTGCTTTCGGAAATCAGCTGATACATCTATGCTTAAAAATTATCTCGATTGAATGAAATTGCAAAGTAAACATTTGAATTGTTGCACACTTGTAATCAGAAATGATGACACTTATTAACACGAGATCGAGTGATCAACACATTAAAGACTATCAAAGGTGTTAATTGGGCCATAAACATGTCACTTAAAGAAAACAGTTACATAAACAGATGATGTACTTGGAATTGTCAAACTAAATTCTTATCAAAAGCAAGCCCAATATGAAATTATTATGTTTTCCGTATGACAATTATGAGGATATAAAATGAACACCTTATCATAGCATATCATCACCTGAAATAGATCTGACTTGCATCGATCAAAATTGTTTCTATGAAAATTAAAAGATTAAAAGTCGTACAGTTTAGGCTTTTTAAAGATTAAATGGGTATAATCCTGCCATCAGTTGTAGTTCATAGTGCATTTGCCGATATTCGATGTATTTTTTAGATTATATGGGCCGTATCCATATAGTAAATTGGGGTCTTTCCATGTCTTGATTTGGACAACAGTTGCTATATTTGGTTGGACACTTAAATTCGTGGATAAAGTCATCCACGAAAACCACGAAAATTGGTTCCCCACGAATAAAAGTACTTTCACAGTATATCAAGGTTTGAAGTAATGGTCTTAGTTTTTAATTTATGTTACATTTTGTTTAGTTGTGTATTGTAATATAACAAAAAAATACAAATCTTTCTTCTTATTGCTCTTTTATGATATACCAGCTTTTTCTCCATGTTTTAACAATTGATATATGAGGTATTTTTTAATTTAGTTGTCTGTCAGGCGTTTCAATGTTGCATTCATCATGTCATCAATCATATAAGGTTAAATAACTTTTCATTAAATGATGTAACTATCTACCTCAGCAAAATCACAAAATACTCAGTATCTGGACCAAGCACTGATCCAGGATTTAAAATTTGATAGGTGAAACTTTAACAATTTTACCAAGCAGAGTAATGAAAAAGTTTTGTTTTATGTTACAAAAAAAATCTCTACTGTGAATAATATATAGACATATTACATTTATTCTCTAACTTTTTTATGTTTTACATTTATGATCATACCTTCACATTCATAATCATTTTTCGTTTGGTAGCCAGTGTTACATCTACAGGTATATCCACCACCTGTATTTTGACACGTTGAAATAGTTGCTGAACAATTGTTTGTTGTTGCACTACTACATTCATTTATATCTAAAATAAAGCATAAAGATATAAATTTGAAACATTGTGGTAGACTCAGTTGGATATAAAATACAACAACAATAAAAAGTATTTAACCTCAAATTTCATTAATTATAAAGTTTTTCAAATTCTCCTTCCTAATTTAATCTAGAAATTGCTTACAAAATCACAAAAGTCTGACAAGAAAAATAATTTTGAACTATGAAAAAGAATATGTTTATAAATATATTAAGGTTTGTTAAATTTGTAATCATAAATAATTGAATCACAAAAGATACTTCATACAAATGTCTGCAATATGATATTATCCTTTCCAATAAGCTAATCATAAATGTATCTAACATGTTGAAACTTTAAATATTAATGGCAAATTTCTTGGTTTCAGTTTCTGGGTGGTTTGATAAACCTTCTGTTTATTTTTCCAAAGTGGTTCTGAACTAGTTCAAATCTGAAACTGTGTTTTACATTTGTTTCATGAAAATTGAAACCAGTTTCTTTAACTTATCATCGTGCAGTTTGAACACTTTAACAAACCATTATCAGATCTTTTTTTGTGTTTTGAAACTGATGCGCAGAAACCAGTTTAAAACCAAACCATTAAACCCTGCAAATGTAACCTGAAACTGGTTTTACTCAACAAAAACACCCTTATATCTGTGACGGTGGTCACTTTGTTTACTTGTTACTTTTATTATAATGGGGAAATGGTTAAAGTTAGCATTATTTATAGTTCCACAAATATTTGTCCCGAGACCGGCCACGTAAATTCTCATCGGGTTACTTCCTGTTCTTGCACGTGCCTGACGTCCCGACCTGGCTCGTTGTCCCTAGGAACTATAAATATGACGTCACTCACCGGGTCTTTGGGCAGTCTACGAGAGGATTTAAAATGAGCAGACGCTCATACTTTGGCTCGTACATTTTAGGCAACATGTAGACTAGCTACCACCGTACTTTTGTATCTTCTTATATGTCATTATTGTATGACTTGTATATTTCAACCATGTATTTATTCAAATAAACATTCTGTTTATATCGTAGTTTGTCCAATATCCCAGAACTTGGGTTAGACAACGGGAAGACAGCAAAGCCAGAAGGAAACTTCACTCCCGTTACATATCTAGTTCAATCCAGCATTTAAATAAGAAAGGTACTTATATGCATTACTTCATGTCTAGATAATCAAGAACAATTACACCTGTCCTTAAATTGGATTCACAATTGAGTAAAGTTTTTATATAACCTACAACCAAATGACATTCAAATAGCACTACTTAGGTTCAACAATACAAACTGGACTCTTTCATTCTACAATTGGTTAATGAAATACATTATAAAATACATTTTGTACCTATTTCTACCTAATATTTACCTGCACAAGGAACACTGTCATCTGCAGACTCTTTTTCATAACCAGATGTACAACTACATTCATAGCCACCATCTTCGTTTACACAAGTCTTGTCAGTAGATTGACATATGCCTGGAGTTTCTACACATTCATTGACATCAACGTCACAATTAGTTCCTGTCCAAGCACTGTTACAAACACATCCACGACTTGGATCACATCTTATGGCTCCTGGTCCACAGCTACATTGGCTTGCACAATTGTCACCATAAAATGGACTCACACAGGCTGTCACAAAATAGAGCATGCTAGTTAATACACATAATAAAAATACCAATATACATATATTATATTAGATTGTATAAATGATAAAACTGTACTTTCTCTTCAACTTACATTTTAAGAGGCTGCCATAAGTGTCAGTTCGTTTTCATTTTTATCTCTTTTGATTTGAATTGCAAATAAATTGTTTGTATTCAGTACTTAACCAAATTCCTCAAAAAACAAAATCTGGTATGAAATATTGATCATTATACATTTTTTGTACAAGAAAAACATTAGAATTATTATTAACATTCTATGAGTCTTTTGCCAAGTCTGTATGTCTATTCAATGATTGTTTTTACAAATGGTTTATGTTGCAAAAAAAACTATTCCTTTTAGACTAACTAATTTGTTTATGTGATTGTTGCAATGACTTTTAGAATAAAAATTGTTGTAAGGGATCTATATTGATATTTTTTTTCACTTTTTCTTGTGTTTGAAGGCATTACTAAGGATAGTGTATAACTATCAAAGTGATATATATTCAATAGTGAGATATTGTTGTAAAATATGTGAATCATGACAATCAAATATTCAAGTACATGCATTAAATTTTAGAAAAAATTTCTTGAGAATATACCTGAACAAGACGTTTTATCAGCATTTAATTTGAAGCCTGTATAACAGGAACAGATATAGCTACCAACAGTATCCTGGCAGTTCTGTGTACATACATTAGCATCACATTCATTGATATCTGAAATGTTAAATTTCAATTGTTGCAGAAAGATTGCCACATATATCATTTCACTTGCACTGTATGCAAATTTTATTTATAAAACAGTTTTGACAGGAGTTTTATGTAAAAGTATATTACACTAGATGGAATGATCAAGAAATCTATATACATGCCAGCATATAACATTCATTCTAAAGGTTTGTCAAATATATTAATATCAAATCCAGTATATACATATTGTTGTTTGACAATCAAAATGCAGAAATTTTATTCTGCTTTTCTGATTGTGGGCTTTTTGCAAATCAAATTTTGAAAATAGGTATATGCATTGACAAAAGAGTATACTGTAAATTCAGAAATTGTTATGTGAATTTATTATTGTGATTTTTGAAGAATGGACAAAAATGCAAGATTATGTATTGCCATTTCAGAAAAATCTGCATAAGATATATGTATCAGATATCAAAATGCGAGTTCTTATTATTGGGATGCTCACCCAGTCGCATTTTTCCTATAACTGTGACTTGACTGTTAGTGTTGCTCTCCACCTATTGCAACTTATTCAATATTCTGACCAAATTGCAATTTGTTTTGTAAAACTAAACTGTTCAACTGGTCAAAATTTTGAACAAACTGCTGTAGAAAACCACAGTCAAGTCGTGAAAGTGCAAGGTGATAAAATAAAGCATACTTACAATCCTATCAGACTTTAATTCCACTTCAAAGTTATTATGAAAATTAGTCTATAAATTTGTATAGAAATTTTATTGTTATTGTCATGCTAAAGGTGATGGATAGAAATTTTGAATTGCTATAAAAATGTCCAAACGAAGCCTTCATACAATTTTTCTTTCAAAAAGTCTTCTATATTCAAAAGAATCAGACATCATTTGAATTAAAACATCTTATATTCAGTAAAATATGTGTGAAATTACAATACGTTGTTACTAAGTTTCCATGGGAGATAACCTAAAACATTGATATTCTTTTGAATATAGAAGACTTTTCGAAAGAAAAATTGATTATCTCCCATGGAGACTTCCTAACAACGTATTGTAATCTCACACATATTTTACTGAATATAAAATGTTTTAATTCAAATGATGTCTGATTTTTATGAATATAGAAGACTTTTCGAAAGAAAAATTGTATGAAACCTTAGTCTGGAAATTTTTTTAGCAATTCAAAATTTCTATTCATCACCTTTAGCATGACAATAACAATAAAATTTCTATACAAACTGTTAGACTATTCTTTTTCTTCTTCATAACATTGAAGTGGAATTAAAGTCTTAACAAGAGAAAAAAAAAAAAAAGTCTTATAATATTGTAAGTATGCTTTATTTTATCACCTTGCACTTTCACGACTTGACTGTGGTTTTCTACAGCAGTTTGTTCAAATTTCTGACCAGTTGAACAGTTTGGTTTTATAAAACAAATTGCAATTTGCCCAGAATTTTGAATAAGTTGCAATAGGTGGAGAGCAACACTAACAGTCAAGTCACAGTAATAAAAACCTCGCAATAAAATCTGAATTTACAGTACTTTGTCCTTTTTTAGGTTACTATACAAGTCAGGAGTTTCTAATTCAGTGGTTGTCATTGGTTGCTGTCTGTGATATTTGTTTTTTGTTTATTATTTTGCATAAATAAGGATGTTGGTTTTCTCATTTTGTCGTGCTGTGGTCTTTATTAGCTTACTTTACTGTATGATTTTTGTTAATTGTTGAAGGCTGTATAGTGACCTATAGTTGCTCAAATCTAAGTAATTAGGTTTGAGTGTAAGGTTTTTTCATTGGCAATCATACCACATCTTATTTTTATATAAATGATACTTACTAGAACAATTGCCACTGCCACTATCAAGTTGATACCCTTCGGCACATATGCACTCCCATGTTCCTGGATTTGTAGTATTATCACAACCATAACTACAGGTTAAATTCTGCAGTGCACAGACATCAAATATTGCTGGAAAGAAGATACAAAATTAAACAAGAAATGATTGTAACAGGATGCTGTTACGAAGTCTCCCAAACGAAGCTCCCATAATTCATAATTCCCAGGGTCGCCTGACATTGTGCAACGCCCAGTTAAAATTGGTTTGGTCCAGTAAAGTAATATGCATTAGTGATGCCTGGGGACTAACCTTGTATATCATTCAAATCATCTTGGCATGACAAACCAGAATATATATGGTTTAAGGGTGGGGATCTCGACCATTTACAAGATACTAGAACATTGGGGGTGGGGGAAAACCCTGGGGACTGACCCTATTCGTCATTCAAATGTTCGTTACATGACGAACAGGAATATATATGGTTTAGGGGTGGGGATCTCAACCATTTACAAGATATTAGAACATTGGGGGTGGGGGAACCCCTGGGGACTGACCGTATACGTCATTTAAATGTTCGAAACATGACAAATAGTAATATATATGGTTTAGGGGTGGGGATCTTGACCAATTACAAGATATTAGAACTTTCTTAAATGGCAGGGGGTGGGGGTGACCCCTGGGGACTAACCCTGTATTTCATTTGATGTGCTTTATCATGACAAACCAGAATATATATGGTTTAGGGGTGGGGATCTCGACCATTTACAAGATATTAGAACTTTCTCAAATGGCAGGGGGTCGGGATGACCCCTGGGGACTAACCCTGTATATCATTCAAACCATCTTCGCATGACAAACCAGAATATATATGGTTTAGGGGTGGGGATCTTGACCACTTACAAGATATTAGAACTTTCTTAAATGACAGGGGGTGGGGGTGACCCCTGGGGACTAACCCTGTATTTTATTTGATGTGCTTTATCATGACAAACCAGAATATATATGGTTTAGGGGTGGGGATCTCGACCATTTACAAGCTATTAGAACTTTCTCAAATGGCAGGGGGTCGGGATGACCCCTGGGGACTAACCCTGTATATCATTCAAACCATCTTAGCATGACAAACCAGTATATATATGGTTTAGGGGTGGGGATCTTGACCACTTAGAAGATATTAGAACTTTCTTAAATGGCATGGGGTGGGGGTGACCCCTAGGGACTAACCCTGTATTACATTTGATGTGCTTTATCATGACAAACCAGAATATATATGGTTTAGGGGTGGGGATTTCGACCATTTACAAGCTATTAGAACTTTCTCAAATGGCAGGGGGTCGGGATGACCCCTGGGGACAAACCCTGTATATCATTAAAACCATCTTAGCATGACAAACCAAAATATATATGGTTTAGGGGTGGGGATCTCGACCACTCACAAGGTATTAGAACTTTCTTAAATGGCAGGGGGTGGGGGTGACCCCTGGGGACTAACCCTGTATTTCATTTAATGGGCTTTATCATTTAGAACATTTTCAATTAAAAAGATTGTGTCTATCACAAACGGTTTTCAATTTATAATCATTTGAAAATTTAAAAAAATAAAATCCCATAGGGTTCTATAGTAAAACCCTCTTTTCTTTTTGACCCTCAAAGTCCCCCTTTATAAACCCCATTGCACAAACAAAACCCTGATTGCACCACTAGACATGTTAGTCTAACATATTGTGAAACCCTAAGTTAATCTGACAAGCGGTTTTGGAGAACGGGTGCGGACAAGTTCAAATTTAAAAGTGGCGGAAGAAGAAGAAGAAGAAGAAGAAGAAGAAGAATAATAATAAGAACTGAGCAAAAACAATAAGTCTTCCCAAACTTCGTTTGGGAGACTTAACTATCAGTAATTTCAAGATTTGACTAGAAAGAGCAGGATTATGATTTGTTGAGGCATATTGACAACATTAATTAAAAAGTATTGGATGCTTTAAAGTTATCATATTATCTTACAATGTAAACACATCTTAAAGTATATTATTACATTCAAAAGACTTTCTCAATAATCACCTGCTGAAAGTCACATATAATTTTCATTTTTAAACTATAATAAACAAAATGAGAAACTAAACTAACACAGTTTCCTACATTCAATACAGATTCAGACTATTCATAGTTGAAGGAACTATTTTATTTAAATAGAGTATTAATACATAATACGTTTTGGAATGCTGGTCAGTAGTTACTTGGGGACACTCGCATGTCTAGGTTTTTAACCAATCAGCAATGGGGTTTCCCAGTCACTGCCGCATGTGCTTCTCTTTTACTAATTGTTTTTTCGAGATCATACTAATTAACCAATGAGATTCATAGCTAATTTTGAATTAACCAATCAGCGCTTAATTAGCAGGGCTTTTGTTTTATGCACACAGGCTCAACTATTCCTGAAGCAACGCTTGCTTGCAGCAGCCATTATCATTTTACTGGGAAAATATTTTCTTTATTATGATCGTAAATTATCGTCATATAATGGATTTATCAATTTCGTATTGGATATGGACACAAAATTATGCAAACGTTTAGAACAAACGATGTCCAAGAATACGTACATGTGCGCGGTACAAGTAAAAACAGTCCGACGAAAATCTATGATTTGTATATAGCTGGACTTTGCATCATCGTGTTATGTCTGCTTATTCCTTTGATACCTTCAAAGCTGTGCGTTTTACATCTATGATGCCACCAACTCGTCAGTGAGACGGGATTGACATTAGTATAACTTTCCATGTTTGCCGTATGACTGTCTTTACATTAGCATTTATATATGCATAATATTCTCAGCGGAATATAAATTTAAAATATGTCTAACGACGAAGAGATCACATTTATGGCCTTGTCCGACAAACAATCTGACAAAGTAAGAACATGGGCAGGAGTCATGAAGCTTAGCGAAGATACCACAAATACAATCCTGGAGCTAGGATTTGAAAACATGGAAGCTGTGTCGTTAATTGAGGCCGACGATTTGGCGGAGACAAATATGCCAATTGGGCAAAGAAAACTGTTGTTAAGGGCGGTTGAGAAGACTTTCCGAAAGGACATAAGTGCCGAGACAGTGGACATGGCAGCGCCGAAACGTAGGACATGCGCACAGGGAGAAAGCGAGCACGGACATGCTTCCGGTGTAAATAAAGATGGCGGCGCCCATAGCTTATTCCAAGATGGCGGCAACAAACAAGACGACGGCTATATCCAGGCGGTGCTTCAGCAGTTAGCAGTCAGCCAGAAACAACATGAACATTCACCTGATCCCATTGGCGGTAGTTATAACCCGAATGCAGTTTCTATGAACACTGTCAATTCTAATATATCTTGGCAAGACCCTCAAATTTATTTAAAATCTGCTAACATAGACTGTAAAATAGTGTACAATGACATTTCAGACTTTGTTTCCTATGATATAGGGGGGACCAGCATGTCTGAGGAGCGCCTTATTTCAGATACTTCAGGGGGGCAACTGGTTTTTAAATCTGGCCCTTTAAGGCCCAAACTTGAGTCCCTGTCTTTGTGTCAGTGGTCGAGGGCAAATTTATCTATCATGTACAAGTTATTAAGCACAGGAGAACTGACACAGACACAGGTTCTTGACTATCTATCCTATACCATGAGATTTTATCATTTAGTTTCATCATGTGAATTTGTGTCGGTGCTGTTTTTTGATAGGGAATACCGCAGACTCCAAAAACAGCACAATTTTAGATGGGGCACTGACATCCCTCATTTACAGTCAGTTTATCTTCGGCCAAAAGCTATATACACTTAACCTCAGGCATCTGGTCCATCTGTTAAGTTTGCTCCTAAGCAACAACAGGATAATTCTAAATATGCATCTCATTATGCAGAAGGTGTTGAAATTTGTAGGAAGTTCAACAGTAGGAAAGGTTGCTTGTTACAACACTGTCGCTATGCACACATTTGTGCTATCCAGGGGTGTGGTACTGAACACCAAGCATTTGCTCATTCAAAAAACTGGGCATAATGGTAAAGCCAGTGCGTGACCTTGTTTATACTGTTTGGCAAGAGGAACTTAAAAATGATTCTGATAAAGAATTTCTTTTAAATGGCATAAAAAATGGGTTTGACATTGTTCAGGATATAAATTTGGCCCCACTTAACATTTCAGCAAAAAATCATCCTTCAGCACATATTTCAAGTCCTTTATACGATAAAGCTCATCAACAAATTTTAATTGAAATTGAAAATGGTAATTATGAGTTGGCAACGTCCAAACCAAAAATTATCAGTCCTTTAGGTGTCATTTCAAAACCAGATGGGGGTGTAAGGATAATTCATGATTGCAGTAGACCCATAGGGTCAGCTGTTAATGATTTTGCAGGGGATATGGATAAGCAAAAATTTCAATCTGTTGATGATGCAGCAAAATTAGTGACAAAAAATTGTTTCATGTCCAAAGTTGATTTAAAATCGGCCTACAGATCTGTGGGTATCAGTCGCAGTAGCCAACAGGTAACAGGTTTACAGTGGACTTTCCCTGACTGTCAGACACATATTTTTATAGATAAAAAATTACCTTTTGGCTCTAAATTAGCACCTGGTATTTTCCATAGACTTTCACAGGCTATTCGCCGCATGATGTCACGCAGAGGCTTTACCATTATAGCATATTTAGATGATTTTTTCATTTGCGAAAGCACTAAGCAGTGCTGCGCACATGGCCTAAGGGTTTTAATTTACTTGCAGCGTAAGTTAGGCTTTGCAATAAGTTGGTCCAAGGTCTTGGACCCATGCCAGAAATTAGTATTTTTAGGTGTAGAGATAGACTGCACAACATTCGAATTAAGATTACCTAGTACAAAACTAGAGCAGTTAAGGCAAGATTTGGCAGATTTTCAGCAGCGCAAGCATGTTTCTAAGAAACAACTGCAGTCCCTGGCAGGAAAACTAAACTGGGCTTCTTCAGTGGTTCGCAGCGGAAGAGTTTTTCTTCGGAGAATCATTGATGGCATTACGAAGCTTAAGCATGATTGGCACAAAATGCGCTTATGCGGGGATATTTTGCATGATATTCATTGGTGGTACAATTTCATGTCCACTTTTAATGGGAAATCCTTCTTACTTAACACTGATCCTGTCACCTCAGTTTATACTGATGCTTGCAAAACAGGTGCAGGTGGAGTTTTTGGTACTGATTGGTTTTATGTAAATTGGAAAGAGGATTTCCCATTTGCGCAAACTTTGCATATTAATGAGCAAGAAGCATTTGCAGTGGCTTTGGCGGCCAAGCGTTGGGCTAAATGTTGGCAAAATAAGCGTGTATATATTTATTGTGATAATTCATCAACTGTTGGTTGTATCAATAAGTATACCTCTAAGAACAAACTTTTGATGTCATTTTTGCGCGAATTGTTTTGGCTGTCTGCTACTAACAATTTTCAACTTGTTGCAATTCATCTGCCAGGGAAGCAGAATGATATGGCTGATGCCGTTTCACGGTTGCATGAGTTAAAGCAATGTCAATTTTTTCTGAAAGAATGCCTACCTACTCCTTTGTTTGTGCATCACCTTGTTTCTCATATGTCATGTCACTCTCTTCGTTTTCTTTTATTTAAGCTCACAGGCACACTTTGATATAGAGTTAATTTTCAGAAGTAACTTGTGCTGAATTCAGGCTCATGAATTCTTGCAACACCTTTCTTTGTCTTAGCATAAGTGTTAAATACCATCAGAAAATTTTGTTTATTGAAAAGGGTACCATGCCTGTCTTTCTATAATCAGCATGTCATGCATGTATTTGTTATTACCAGGCTTCCAATTGCATGAACCTAATCTCCTACTTTAACACAGGTTTGGATTATCTTGGAGTACCACAGTTTTTCAACTTGATTTTGCTTTCTTTGTAAATATGTTTATTGCTTTATTGATATGCAAAGAAAATATTAAACTGTGATTCTTTCTCCCAAACCTGTGTCTGTTTACTTTATTCTTTATACTATAACCAGTTGGCATTTCTTGGTCCCTTTACTGAACTCTGATAAGTGTAAATCAGGTTCCTTTATCTGCACTGTAACTCTTCAGCATTCGGTCAGGGCACCAAAGACATAGCAGACTGGTTATTGGTACAACTGACATATATACAGCATAATAAGGGAGGATCTGGGTGGGACAGTATTATGGATTAATGTGGCGATTTAGGTTCCCAATTAAACTTACTTTGATTACAGCTACCGTCAGCTACCAGCTCAAATCCATACACACAACTACATGTAAAGCTTCCTTCGCTATTAGCACAAATCTGTTCACAACCACTTGTTCTTTCAGTGCATTCGTCAATGTCTGTGAAAATATAATTAAAGTAATCTGAATTTATTACAGGTTGTTTGATTGCGAGCTGCATTCAAATGATGTCTTTTTATATGATTCTTTGAAAAGAATTTTGAAAGTATAAAATTGAAAGGAATAATGAGAAATGTTTGATTTCATGAACATTGTATCTGTATACTTTATTTGAAACTTTTACAGACTCACGTCAATTTAGATTTGACAATTTGTAAAAACATTATATATTGTTGAATACTGTATGTAACTTCTGTTTTTGGTTATTTTTGTGGTTGGTTTTCTGTCTTTTTGACATATTTTTGTGGTTTGGTTGCTGTCTTTTGATATATTTTTGTGGTTGGGTTGCTGTCCTTTGACATATTTTTGTGGTTGAGTTTCTGTTCTTTTTGACATGTACCACACAGCTCCTTTCTATCAGTTGCTTGTGTAAATCAAATTGAAAAGTTCTGTTTTGCTGAGTTCAATGAGTATTTCTGGAATAAGTCATCAGGAAAGACAGCAGCCAAACCTTTGTGCTCTGAATATGGATTAGACAGAATATAATTATCAATTCTCAAGCCTCAAGCCTCACTGATCATAAACATGATCCAATATTAAAGTCATAAAAAAGCTAACTGAAAATAACAGCAAGAAATCATTTTCTCTTTATTTGTAGCCCATTCAAACTTACTTGGATCAGGTGATTGTTTTGAGTTTATAATTAACAGTTCTCATTTCTGTATTGCTCAACATTTAAGGAATGATGAAGAAATAACATAAAAAAACGTAGCGGTTTATTTGTGTGCACTACATTATTTAGGTTATTTCAAATAGACAGAAAAAAATATTACAGTCATTCCTTATACACATGTAATAATTTAATTCTAAATTCCATTTTTAAGGAGTAAATCATGAAAAAAACATTGATGACATCAGGGTCACATGACAAAATTATGTCTATGAGCTGATAAACAAAAAACTTTCAGCCAATCAGAGAACGTGTTACATCCAATATTAAATTATTCAAATATGATAACGTATTGTATTGATGTTGTATTGTTTTATGCTCATGTCAAGATAAATGGTGTTAATGTGTTACAAAAAAAAAATACAAAATTTTTTGTAGATTATTGGAATAGTACATTTTTATAAGTTTGTTATTTTTGACAAAAAACATTAGAGTTATAAACTTTTATCCATTCTTTAAGAAGAAAAATTGCCCAAAGGCAAGTTTCTCTAGATAGTTTAGTGCCCCTTTTTTTTGAACTCTTTATCATTTAAATTGATTGAGCCTGAAATGTACTTTTGTTATCTTAGTACAAACCTTGACATTCAGAACCAACTTTTCTGAACCCTTCCAGACAGATGCATGTAAAGCTTCCATCTGTGTTTGTACAATTACTGTTTGCTGGACAGTTATTTGTTCCATCTAAACATTCATTTATATCTGAAAATAAAAGATTCATTTTACTGGCATTATACTCCATCACTTTCAAAGTTGGCATTTAATTTTTTTTTTTAATTTATACAAAATAATTATATCATAAGACTTACGAGAAAAAAGTAGGAAAATACAGAGGAGCAGCAAAAATCATTACAGGAAGAAGACAGCACTGTGCACTGGTCAAAAGAAAATGATGTGATATAAGATAGAGAATCATGTGTTCATCTATTATAAAGAACGATTGATTTATCATTTTGGAAAATTCATCTGAAACATCAATGAACCAAATTCATTCAAAAAGAGTTTGTGTGTGGAAAGAGTTGATATTGAAATATTCAGGCTTTACTTTTACTGTTTAAAATCATAATGAAAAGGGTTCCTTATTCATGCCCTTCAATTGGAATAATTCTTAATCAATCGGTCCCTTTGTTTACCTTCACACTTTTCATCAGCTGTAATATTATAGCCTTCTGGACAATTAGAGCAGTTGTAACCACGAACAAATAAAACTTCATCAGCTGGTAATAAATCTATACAGGTACGTCCTAAAGCACATGGGTTATCAGCACAACCATTTGAATCAATTTCACAGTCATCACCTGAAAAAGGGAAGAAATAAAAGTTATGTATTTATCTATTGTGCATGTCCTCTAAGTATGACTGGCAATCCTTGTGGTATCCCATTACAAAGCACAAAGATACACATATTTTTTTCTCTCAACCTTATAGATACATAGATTGCCTTGGTCAGTCTGAATAATTCAGCACTATAATTTGGAAATTTTGGTTTTCAATTGAGTAATTTAACTTTAATTGTAATAAGTTTTGCTGTCTAACTATTTTGATATGAGTTCTGCTGATGAGTCAAATGTAGTTGAAAAGCTGTTCTCGGACAATTGATTATATGCCTGGTATTGTTATGATAACTCGTTATCTTACAAAAGAAAACAGTACAACCAATATACAAATTATAAAAAAACAAGTTAAACTGTGAGCTACTGCTCACTGATGATACCCCCGCCCAAATATTTCGGTAAACAGGAAGTTGTTGAGTGATGAATCTGAAAACGCATCACATGGTATAGCTGGCTTATATAAACCCTGAAACCAAATTTCAGAAATCCTTATGATGTAGTTCCTGAGAAAACTGCGACGAAAAATATTCATAGGACGGATGGACGGACTGACGGATGGAAGGATGGATGGACAGATGGATGGATGGATGGATGGATGGATGGACGGACGGACAGGCAGAGGTAAAACAGTATACCCCCACTTTTTTAAAGCGGGGGTATAAATATCAACGGTATTGCTGTTGACATCTTATGAATACAATTTTTAGTACAAAAAAATTGATCTTGGACTAGATATATGATACAGAATTAACCATATTCTTAAAGATATCTGAAGAGAAAGAATCAAAGGGGACAGCAGACTCTCAATGTAATACGTCTTATACTGAAAAAATACTTTTCTTTCAATTTGTGTAGAATATGTCCTCATATAAGGGATCATAGATTTATTCTTACGAGGAAGCTCCGAGCATGCTCAGAGGATGCTCGGAGCTTTTTCAGTAGGCTCTTCTCTGCAGTTTATGTGAAAATAATTATCATGATCCATTAAGATGTCAATCAAATCTACACCACTTCTATAATAAGGAAAGTAGAGCATTATAGAGGAAGCTCAATTAACACCTGTGTAAACAACTGATCTATTCAAATAAATTTTGCATGACATTTAAAATTATAGAAAAGATTAAGAAATTCCTCAACAGTACTGTGTAATGCTTGGAAAGAAATCTCAAGTCTCCACAAAAAAGTGAAAGTCATTTAACAAAAAATATACAATTATTATATTTATTAATCATTTCTTTTTTTATAATAAAAAAAATTCTCAAATCTTATAATTAGATGATATGATTTAAATATAGTTTATGTTATATAATATGCTACATAAAAGTTATCAAGACACAAACAACAGTCAGGGGGCGATACTAAACAAGTTATTTTTTTTAGTTACTTAATATATATTAATAGGTATTTTTTGTTTTTTTAAATTATTTGATATAAACTCAATAGTTATTTTAAATGTCAAAAGTGGACTAAATGTAGTTTTTAAGAATTTTTTCATCATTTCATTAAGTAAAATTAAGTATTTATCCAACTTGAGATGAGTATAGAGAGATTACTTTAAAAATAATGACAAAAATATTACTTTTATAAATTATTTGATACATCTTCGAAAAATTAAGCATACTTACAATTATTTAAGGAACATATGTAATTGTTTTTGATAAAGATTTCAAATTATAAATAACTTCAAGTCTTAATTAAATCACAAAGTTCCATCCATTTATATTTGTTCATCTCTAAGATTTTAAAGGAAAATGTTATTCTAATAGCCCCAAGAGACCAATCTATGACCAAGAAGTGTGGCATCAGAAAGGCAATAAGTGTTTCAGGAGGATTTAAATAGTTTTATACTGCATGGGGAAAATAACCAGATGTGAAAATTTGGTAAAGCCTGTAAAACCTGTATGAATGGACACCTATAGAAATAATATTAACAGAAGTTACTTATTCATGATATATAAGTAATATTTGAAACAACCTTGTTTTCAATATAACTTGTATAAGTAATTTTGAAAATTACTTGTTTAAGTAATGCCCCTAACTATTAAAACAATGATATTTTTTTTTTTTTTATAAAATAGCAAAGTTAGTTTTTTATAAAAAAAATTATGGCTACTCTAAGAAAAGTTGAGGAGGTAATACCACCATTGTTTTCCCTCTAGTACGTCTCACTTTAATTGTCATTTTTTTTTATAATTGTGCGGATTTGGTTTTATTTTAAATAAAGAAATACTTGGCATAATTATATAAGTGAAGTTTTATCCTGACCTGTACTTGAATGAAAATCTAATATAAAATTGTTTCCCCCTATCAGTCTTTGTTTAATTGGTATTTTTCCAAAAATATGTGCAGAATTTATCTATGTTTTAAATAAAGAAATACTTGACATGAGTAAAGTTTTTTCTTGTCCTGTACTATAGTAATAAAACAACAATTTTTCAGTGCATATAAGAAAGAAGACATCACCAGAATTAACCAACCAAATTCTATCCCCCTTTTTTTTCTCTGTTTACAAGCTTTAGTAGCCATGTCCCCTAAAATTGCAAAAATATTTTATATAAAAAAAAAACAACCATTGTTTAGTTAAGGGCATTACTTAAACTAGTAATTTTCAAAATTACCTATACAAGTTATATTGAAAACAAGGTTGTTTCAAATATTACTTATATATCATGAATAAGTAACTTCTGTTAATATTATTTCTATAGGTGTCCATTCATACAGGTTTTACAGGCTTTACCAAATTTTCACATCTGGTTATTTTCCCCATGCAGTATAAAACTATTTAAATCCTCCTGAAACACTAATTGCCTTTCTGATGCCACACTTCTTGGTCATAGATTGGTCTCTTGGGGCTATTAAAATAACATTTTCCTTTAAAATCTTAGAGATGAACAAATATAAATGGATGGAACTTTGTGATTTAATTAAGACTTGAAGTTATTTATAATTTGAAATCTTTATCAAAAACAATTACATATGTTCCTTAAATAATTGTAAGTATGCTTAATTTTTCGAAGATGTATCAAATAATTTATAAAAGTAATATTTTTGTCATTATTTTTAAAGTAATCTCTCTATACTCATCTCAAGTTGGATAAATACTTAATTTTACTTAATGAAATGATATAAAAATTCTTAAAAACTACATTTAGTCCACTTTTGACATATAAAATAACAATTGAGATTATATCAAATAATTTAAAAAAACAAAAAATACCTATTAATATAAGTAACTAAAAAAAATAACTTGTTTAGTATCGCCCCCTGACTGTTGTGTGTGTCTTGATAACTTTTATGTAGCATATTATATAACATAAACTATATTTAAATCATATCATCTAATTATAAAATTTGAGAATTTTTTTTATTATAAAAAAAGAAATGATTATTTTAAAAATATAATAATTGTATATTTTTTGTTAAATGACTTTCACTTTTTGTGGAGACTTGAGATTTCTTTCCAAGCATTACACAGTACTGTTGAAGAATTTCTAATCTATTCTATAGTTTTGTAAAATTTCAGGCAAAATTTATTTGAATAGATTAGATGTTTACACAGGTGTTAATTGAGCTTCCTCTATAATGCTCTACTTTCCTTATTATAGAAGTGGTGTAGATTTGATTGACATCTTAATGGATCATGATAATTATTTTCACATAAACTGCAGAGAAGAGCCTACTGAAAAAGCTCTGAGCATCCTCCGAGCATGCTCGGAGCTTCCTCGTAAGAATAAATCTATGATCCCTAATTGAAGTCAATGATGACAAATTTTTATGTTAACAAACTCATAATTTTTAACTAAATATGTAATTATTATTTTTTCCTAAAAATTTTCATAGGAAATGTTGATGAATTAAAATCAGTTGGGTATCTTGTATGTTGTTTTACAACCAATGGACAAATGGATTGTGAGAGCCAAAGAATTCACTACTGTAGTACATGTACATATGCTGTAAGAAATTAAATTTGGTTTCTTGTTGTTTTTTTTTTTATTCTCTTGTTTATGCTGCTTCCAGTAAAATGCAAAATCTCAGGAACACAGTGGTGAGTCACTCAGCTGCTTTTCTTGCTGGTTTACTAACATACTTATATTTGAGAAATTTTCAGAAAAAAAAAAAAATGCAAAATTGGACAAATAAGGAAATAATCTTTTTGATGAATAAAGGTTCCAAAACTGGTGTCCTTTCAACGTGATTTTATTTTGATAGTTCCTCAAGTGTTTAACTTAACAGTTTTTAACATTGGTTTGGACCAAAATTGCATAACATTAAATTTTGAAAGCATCTTTGTCTGAGTTGATACAACAGCTGATGGACTGCAACATTAGGAAAATACCAATGAACTCAGATAATGTGATTTCTGGTATCTGCTTTGATTTGATTATTTAGATACCAATACTTTTAAATTTCATATAACAGAACATTGTACAATAACCATAACGTAGCTTCAGATTTGGATTTTTGACAGATGCAATTTGAAATCAAATGTCAACTTTATTTAAACAAAGAAAAATGTCCTTACCAGACCAACCAGTAGTACAGTTACATGAGGCAATCAAGAAGTTGGGATTGGTTTCATTTCTGAGAGTGTCATAATCACATGTTCCTTGGTCACCGGAACATCCGCTACACATAATAATCACCACCTCGATAGCATCTGCTGTTACTCCATCACTGTCTACAGTAGTTACCCTGTGAAGTTTATGTAATATAATTACACATTGATATTGCAATTTAATCAAAGTCTGGAAGAAAATTAAATATTCCTCCCTTCACATAATATCATTTAGAAAATAAAATACAATTTAAAGGAATAAACTCAAATGAATTAGAAAACTGATATCCTTTTACTATAATTTTAACTTAAGGTTAATGATTCAGATTAAGATGTTACACAAAAAACATGAATTTTCAGCACAGGTAATCGTCTTGGAATTTTGGGTCCTCAATGGTTTTCAACTTTGTACTTGATCTGCTAAATTTGCCTTTTTAACTTTTTGATTCAAGTGTCACTGATGAGTCTTTTGTAGATGAAACCCGTATCTGGCGTACAAAATTATAAGCCTGGTATCTTTGATAACTTTCTTTTCTTTCTTGACAAACAATACATCCCTTAAAGATCTTGGTAGCAGACAAAAGAGGAGCATTTTCACTTATATAGATTTGGTTTTTTTTAGGCAGATAACTCTATTGAAATAAAATGCTCATTCAGCAATTACAAAATACTAAAAACATTTGAAAAACATATGAAAAACTAGAAGAATATACATAAGATATAATCAAGTTCTAAAGAAAGGTGCTAACATCTACTTAATTTGGTCTGTTGTGCATTATAGTTGTCTCATTGGCAATCATACCACATCATATCTTATATGAAGGAAATACAAGTGATACAAGAAGTATACTTATCAGCAAGTATATATAGAAGACGTTCACATATAAAATACTTATGTAGGATGGAAAATGCCAAATGTTGAAAATCCATTGCACAATTCTAAGACTATGGAAAACACAAAACCAAAGAATTTAACCAAACATTTGTTAACATTCAATGTGCAAATGTTTTAACAGTAAACAATATATCAAAGTAAAAAATATGAATCGAAAGTTGATAAAATATTAAAACACATTTCTTACAATTCAAAAATGTAAGAAAAATAATTGCAAATAAGTGTCATTTTCGAGCCAAAAAATGTGCCTTCTTCCTCATTTCACTCAAGCTGAAAAATATAATACATAATGAATACCAAAAAATTACATGCTGCATCAAACGTAGAACATCCTCATTGTTTCACTCCTGTTTTGAACCCTAGAATTTTTTTTAAAACAAAATATCTACAAAATTTACCTGATTTTTTCTGTATTGAGACTTGCAGGTGTCCATGTTAATGTCAGATTTCCTGTAGAATTATCAGATGTGAAAGTGCCTTCACCTGGCTGATCTATTATATTGTATCTAAAATCTGCTTTATCATCCTGACCAGAGAAGTTAAACATTATAGATTGATTTACTACTACTTTGATAGATTCTTCTCCAGTTATTTCTGGTGCCTCATTTTCTGGAAGATTATTAAATTATTGAATTATATTATGACAGTTTCATCAAAAGTAAAAAGATCACAAGACAAACAAACAGTCTATATATAACTATACAGAAAACAAATATTGAGGAATACCAACACCAATGTTTTCAAAGGAGTTGGTTACTAAATTCCCGACCGTGCAAGACCCTCATGGGTAGTCAAGGTCATTAAAAATAACTCTCATCATCGTTACTAAACTCATAATATGCCATTTGCCACTGGATGTTAAGCAACCAACAATCAATCAATCATAAAATGCCAGTTCTGGGATACAGTAGTTTGTTGAATCTGTTATGTGACTTTCATCACCATGTGACCAAATTGTAGGCATCGTCACTTCCAACACATGTTGGGCAAAGTGAAATATTATGATCTCACACTGCACAAAATACTTGGAAAACTTAATTTTAATTAATTGGTCACTCCCCTTCAGGTGTATGGGAATTAAGATTACTTATTTATGTAACATAAATTATTTCTAGACTACCCTGCCGAATGACGATTCTGAAAGTGCTTGGAACTTTAATAGGGCAAGGATACAGGCACACGTTCTATCTGTTAAAAGACGTCATAAATTTAAAGATATGAAAATTTGATGAAAACATATTTAAAAATGTCAAACTGTTTCAGTAAAAAAAGATTTTCACCAATTGAATACTAAGTGAAGTATTTGTGATGTTAAAACGCACAAGAGGTCTCTTCCTATATGTAAAATGTAAACAACACTTTATAAATTTCATGCATCTGAAGCCCTTTTCCAGATTTATCCTCATCAGAAATGCAAAATGCCAATTATTTGAAATTCAAGGATGTGTAAGAATGAAAACAGAAAAACAGCAAGAAAAGGTTAAATTTAACATAAAAGACTTAAATTGATCACAACTCTGAAAATATCTTCCCACTTCAGATTTCATATTCTAATGTTAGAAGACTTAAAATGTGCTAATATGATTTATTCAAAAGTATCTGAATAAAAGATTCTGTCACTGTCAATCATTGTAGAAAAGAGAGGATATGATGTATTTGAATATTACACAAAATCACTACACTGAATTCACAAGAACAGGGCTGAGCCCCACTCTTATTGCTGTCCTACAACTCAAAGAAAGATTGAGACATTCAACAATTTTACATTGAATTAAAAGTTTACACCTCACAAAATTTGTTAAACTGTCTTTAAAGTTTAGAAAAAAAAAAAAAAACTTACGTAATTGTGCAGTTTCAGACTCAGCTTCTGCATTTGTTGATTGAGTATCATCAGCAAATGATTGATCACCAGTTGCCAGGAAATCAAAGATACAAGCTTTATATTGGTCACTCTTGCCACCACAGATGGCATAAGCTGACTGGAGGGTAGTATTATCAAATTCATCAATAAACAATGGAACAAACTCTTGATGACTGTAATCAGTCCAGGATTTCCCATCAGTATACTCAAATATTGAATTAGCTGCAGTTGTCTCCCCTATAATAAAAAAATGTTATATTATAATTAATCAAAGAGCTGATAGCTCTGAGGTGGAAGAAGATGCAATTATTTATTAAAAGGTAACTTGAATTACCATGAAAGCAGCCCACACCAACCCAGCCTGCTCTGTCCCGTTATTGCTTTCAATTTATTTTTTTCTTCCAAAAATAATATTCTTTAATAATACTCATGTCTCAACCAAAACTGACTATACTAAACATAAAAATGTACAAATACTGTTGATTCAAATTAAATTTTCTATAATTCCATGCATTCGTCTCAGCATGGTCAACTTGATGCAAGCAATTATACCAGTAATTGATTAGGTTTCAATTGAAAGTTTTTCTGTCACAGGTAGATAGTTCACTTTGGGTATTCCGACTTTCTTCATATAAAAAAAGTGATTTTAATCAAGTGTGCTTAAAGTAGGGTTTAACACTAACATCAATCATTAATCATGAATTGTTATAGTTGTTCACAGTTACTTGTTTTTCTAATTATAAACATATATTGAAGAATGCTAAATATATCCAATGCAGATTTGTCTAGGGTCAGGGATTGGGTTTTGAGCACTTGTTAACATTTCAAACCCGTTCATATTCTGTATGTGCTTAACCCAAATCAGGAACCACTGATTTGCTGTTGTAATTAATATTTGTTTTTCATCTAATATTTTTACACAAATGTACGAGGGTAGGAATGCCCTTTTCCGTCAAGCCTCAAACGGTCTTTTTCTGAAATGTTTCATGAATGACTGACGGCAACGAATTATTGGTTCCGTACTCGTGTGTCGTAATGGGGATACGTTCATGACGAATAATGGTAAAAAGCTGGACTAGTTTAATATGTTAAATCCCGTTTTTGATCACTTAAAACATTGGACACAAACTAAGGCAATAAAGGTTATCATTGGGGACATTCCGACAATGATTGACATGAAAACTACGTACTTTCCATATGGATTCCGTCAAATGACATTAGTTTGTTCATTGATATTTCTGTCAACTGACGGTGCATCATTTGAAGCGTAAAGCACCAGCAGATTTACATCTGCTTTTGACTCTTTATTATCGCAATAACATACTGAAATATTCTAACTTTTGTTTTAAAAAAGGCATGTTTTCTAAAACCGGAATATGACTTGTTTGTGTTTAAGATCTGAACACAGACAGAACAACTACATCCGTGTATTTTTGTCAAGCATCATTGAGTTGAAGTCGTACTCTCCGTGTAGATACTTGAAATTAACATAAGATGCATTGTTTCCATTAATGAAAATTCTGTTTATCATTATTTTGAAACTTTCGGATGCACAATTAAATTTCCCATTTATGCACATGCGCAGATATGTAACCAACGTGTTTTGGATTAACTCGAATAATCCATTTGTTTTATTCTGATTACTCCAACGAGAAACAGCAGAGTATAGAGAGCGCTGAATCATTCGACTTAGTTTCGAATTATAATTAAATTAAAGCATGCGTACTACCAAATCTACTTTAAAAACATGAAGTTACAAGTAAATAAATAACGTACATGTAAGATGAAATGAAATCTTATAATTGACATAATAAAAAGGTAGATATTAAAACATGAGAAATTATAACACTAATGATAGTAATTGGTTTTTTTTCAAGTCTAACTGTACATTTGACTTATAAAATGATGCAGATGCAATTTGACAAACTTGAAACGGATCACGTGTAAACATCGGTGTCAAGATATGGCACAGAAGTTATGAAATAGTAAAGTACAGAAAAGGATACGGTAACACTCCTGGTAGCGGTTCAATGATTTTACAGCCAGCAGTACATGTATAGAATTTTGAAGTCTTCTTTCACAGAAAACCAATTGTTCAAAGAACAACTGAAGGTCTTTCCACCCGAAACGATATTTTTTGATACGCAAATATTCAAATTTTGTTTAAAATGTCAATTCCACTGTCAAATGACAGCTTATTGCATGCTGATTTCAAAAATATATGGTTTCTATACAATTTTGTTTGAAATAAGGAATATAATTTTACTTCTGGTCTGAAAAATGTCACTTCCGGTATTGTTTGATAGTTTACTTGACACTGATTCCAAAAACATATGGTTCTATATACTTTTACATTAAATAAGTATAAAAAATTCCAACTTCTGGTTTACACAAGGTCATTTCCGGATGGAATTTTCAAGGTCATATTGCTTGCAACCTAATGCAAAAAAGTCCCATGGCTTTATCATGTATAAATATGAAGTTAAAGCAAAGGTCAAAATCTAGAACATCAAATTTAACTATGACCTTGACCTCAATTTCAAGGTCATAAACCAAGGACCTCAAATCAAAAGACCCTAGGTCTTTATTATATTTGGTTAATGAGTTATATCACTATACATGTAATTTTAAATATAAAAAGAGAGAAAACTCCCATTTAAAGTCAACATACCCTTGCAACTAAAATTTACGTGTTACGACATGTACATGTAGCAACTAACAATTTTGAAAAAATAATTTGTTGATATCTTATACAGCATTGAAAAGAAGCGAAAATAAGCCAAAAACAAAATTTAGAACATGACCTTGACCTTATTTTCTTTTTTTTTGGTCCAAGGACCGCAAATCAAAAGACCCTATGTCTTTATCACATATGGTTTACCAGTTACAAATGCATATCACTTATTTCAAATGTATAAGGAGAAATAACTCTCATATGGAGTCTCCGGATCTATTTAGTCAAAATTATTCTCCATATCCTGAGGATATAACAAGCAATTTGGTAAAATAAATTTGTTGTAATCTTTTAAAGTTGTGAAGGAGTAGTATGCACAAGAAAAACAGTGTTCTGGGAGATTTCTCATACAAGGGAAAGTATTGGATTAAGCGGTGTCAGTTTCAAAAGCTATAAACTGTTCTATATCGTATACAAAATATCTAAGTGACATCTTTAAAAATAACAATACAGCGCATGAAAAAAATTAGGCTGAAGAAAAAAAAAATAAACAGAACAAATCCTAAAGGTCTTTCCACGGAAAAGTGGAAAGACCTAATTAAAACAAATACCTAAATTTGTTAAAGGGTGCTAAAAATTATGTAATTGAGCCATTGATTTGTAACGTATAATGCACTTAAAACTCTGACCATGTTAGAAGTAAAGAAATTTCAAAACAAAAAGATCATGAAAGAAGTCACAAAAGGTTAAAAAAAATTACTTGAAAATTGTAATTAACTAGAGTTTTTTTGTGTCATTTTTTTTTAATCAAACATCACAAAACATGAGATTTTATTACTTACACAGCTGACCGAAATTGTTATAGATTTTTCTTTCAGAATCAACATCACTAGATGAAAGTATAGTTCCATTTGGTAATACAAATTCATTGGTTTTGTCGCCATCAAAGTTTCCCATAAGACCTGTAACTTGACTTTTAAAATCCTCAGGTACTGATGCTGACAAAGTCAACTGCCGAGTTTTTACCTGAAAATTTAACTGAATCCCTGCAAATGTAAAGGATTATATTTAATGAAGATTTATAAATCAATATCTAATTGTTTTTTCCCCATTTTATGTACGGTAATAAAATTGACAAAAATGTAAATGACCGCAAACATGGCAGAATACAACTTAAACTTATCAGCCATGTGTCAAAGATATTTACTACTTTATTCCAACAAATTATTCTTTCCAAGAGATATGTGTAAAATTAAAGATATCCAAAGTAAACATATGTAACAGTCTAACATTATCATGCATGGTACAAGTAGTCTTCCTTAACAAGGATTATAATTATACGACAATCAGCTGTCAAAACCAAATATCTTTGGTAAACTAAAATGGTAAAGTCGACTAAATCTAGCGGGTCTTTTTCCCAATGCAATATTGGTATAATACCTGAAAACAATCCCTTGCTATGAAATTTAGATCAACACGATGTCTATATATATACAGATTAAAAATATTGGAAGAATCACCTGACTCAGAGAAAGCAACAGCAAGTGTATGATTTTGGCGTCTCAACACGATGCCAGTTAGAAAAACAGCAAAGTTTTCTTCAGTATTGAACTGTGTTGTGTAGTCATTTCCGTTACCATAAACTACCAATGCTGTAATTAAGAAAGTTTCAAGTATTATATAGAACAGATAATATTTCATTATATAATTACATTGAATAGAAGTTTCATATCATTCCTTTAAATTTTGATTAGCTAAGGCATTCCAAAATTATATTCTATTTCCATACAGAATGCAATATCTATGACTGCACATGCTCTCAGTGATAATGTGAAAACATTGCATAGAAAAACAAAAAAAAGGCTTGATTTAACTCGTAATATCATGATTGAAGTGTAAAAATGTAATTATAAGAATTTAATTAATAGTACTTTTATAATGTTGTAAAAGTGTTCAACATGTACATATTTTAAGTATAAAGTTATAAATAAATTATATTTATCCACTCTCTGTACCCAAGTTTTCAAATATGAAAATGCTGGGCAATCACAGTTGAAATTTTGAAAAGAGAACAATCTCAATTGGATAAATATCATCATAGAATCTATATTTTCATAATCAACTAAAAATGATAAAAAAATCTTTCACTTTTGACAGTTACTGTACTTCTTTCAAAACTGCAATAATAATGATAATGCTAAGAGAAAAGTAACAATTTTGAATTGGTCAGGTTACCAAAACAAAAAAACAATAATTTCATTATGGTGTTTTTAAACATAACCAGGGTTTATAACTTACTTTCCAAATCACTGGCTAGTTCTACTTGCATAGAGGCATTTCCATCTTCTTTTGCAGCAAATCCACTAAATATAGTAGCATTTATTTTCTTCAGTTCAGTTCCATTCTTTGAAGTAGCTAAATCTGTTCTAGCTTGAACTTCGAAGGTTACATTTTCATTTTCAATTTTCATCATTGTGTATTCACCCCAGCCATTAAATGTGTATTGAAATCCATCCAATGTGTCAACATGAGGATCCCCAAAAGTAAAGACTGAAAATATATACAAAATTTACAAACTCAAGTCATATGAAACAAGTTTCTTGTAATTATAACGTGAAGGAAATATTTGAACCAATACAGGCATGCATTATGCAGCATATATACTAAACTAAGTCCTCTATGCATATTATTTTACATTTTTTAAGAATCCATAATGTATAATAAGCATATTATATTTCATTCAGTGATTGTTGATTGACAACTTCTGCTACTAATTAACTCTCAGGTTTTCAGGACAAAATTTTCCATTATTGACCTTGATAAACAATCAACACAGAATCATGGAACATGTGAAAAATAAAAGATGATAGCATGGACAGAGTGTTGTTTAATTGTAAATTTTCATATTTGCCATGCGTTAACATTTAATCAAACTTTGTCATAACAGTTTTTTGATGATTTGGTGAATTAAGATGTTTTCTTTCAGGATCAATTAATTCTATCTTCCTAGCTTCCAGTATAAAAATAAGGAGATGTGGTATGGTTGTCAATGAGATAACTTTCCACCAAAGTTCAAATTAAGTGGATGTAAGCAATTATAGGCAAGCGTACGGCCTTCGTTTACCTTTCTTTCTTTACGGTAAATTATCAATTTCAAACGAGTGGGATCATACAAAAAAGGCTCTCAGAGAAAAAGAGGGAAGACAATAATTCAATAGCCCTACATTTCTTAAGATTTCATTTCAGAAAAGTCATAAAGGATTTTCTTTTAAATGAAATTCCATGTACACATGTTTAATAGTAAAACTTAGGCATTCAAATATATAAAACTGTAAAAAATATTCTACTTTTTTTTTTAAATTTGAAGTTTCACATGACTTTAACTAAAGGTACACACTGGTACAGATTCATGCAAGTTTTGATCGAATTCCTTGTATGTTTACAAAGTTTGTGAATTTTTATAGTTCACTTCCAGTCCCCATCAAAATGGACTTGGTTTTTATTACCTGCATTTCTAAAACGATCTACAAAAGTAAGCATTTTTGTCTTTGTTATGAAATGTTTATACAAAAGATATTAGACAATTACAGGTAACTTAATCTTTGGAACACAATCATCGCTTATAAAATTTGAAGTTTTAAACAGTGGTACTACATGTATATGAGAAATCAATGTGTAAAAGCAAACAATAAGAGAAGCATTCTTTACAGCAAAACAGAGCATGTATAACTGTAAACCAACTTTTTTTTGTAGAAAATTTATTTTGCGTTTCACCCCTTCTAGCCCACTTGGATTAAAGTTCACGATTTCAAATTTTCTTGATGTAGTTGAATAAGGAAAGATCCAAGTTTACCTATTTGAATAGAATAGAATAGAATATACTTTATTCCAAATTAAAGGGCCCACAAGGGGCAACACAGGATTATAACATTACACATATTAAACAAATACAAAATAACAATACTGAGGGAAAGAATACTTGATTGATAGCATTTAATGACACTCACAAAAAAAAAAGAAATACATATTTGTGATGATTTATATTCGCGTTATTTTTTTACTCACGAAAGTTATGAAAATTAGTTGGTTTACAGTATTGTACACATATCTGGACCTATAAATCTGCAGAATAAATGTACTTACATATACCAAATGGTGACCTCCTGTAACAAAATCCCACTGGTCTTACTGTGTAGTAGAGATGACAATTATTTGATTTGACACAACAATTTTCTTTAGGGATAACATTATCACTTTGGTATGTAACAATATCAGTAAAAGGATTCCCTGTGACCATTGTACCAGCATCTGGACGATTCCTAAGAAGGAACCCATAGAACTGGTGATAGCAGCAAATCTGAAAAGTAAAATAAAGTTTGTTATTTATAGACATTTACATTTGAATATCACTTTTGTTTGGCATGTCTGTGTGCTTAAAATATCTTATAAATGTTTTATAAATTTATGGTTTTTTTTTATATGAAAAATAAACAAGGCCACTCATGCAGATGTAGGACACTGTTTGTTTTATGTTGTTTTTATGTTTATTAAATAAATGAGGCCTCTCATTGGCTAACTTGTACTATATCATATTTCCAGAAAACATAAATGAGGCCCTATATAGTTTCATTCATTGGCAAAACTGAAAACTGGATCAAAATGTCATTGTACTCTATTATTTTGACTTCAGTAAATGGTGGTTACAGAGCTGTTTGCCCCTATTTCAGTCTATCAGTAGTATTCACCGATTTCTCAGTATTTTTCAGTAGTATCATTGGTGAGCACCGTTTGTAATGTATGTGAGTAGTTCGTATAATATATATATGTTTAGAAAAATAAGGAGTATAAAGCAGAAAATATATTTTTTCTGTTGTTGTTTTTTAAATTAACATACATACATGATCGAAGTACTTGAATTGAAAATGTGCATTTTGAATTAAAAAAATGCCAGGGGTCAAATTAATATGTTGACAATGAATAAATACATTGTAGCCCTCCTGAGAAGTAATAAGGATAACTTTTCTAATTAGCATGAGATTCAAACTATATTTACAAATCCAATATATGCATGTATCAAAAGTTACACAAAGAGCAAGTACAAATAGTCATGAAACACATGTACATGTTACATCATTCTGTTAATTTAAGATATATATTTGCAACTGTTATTAATCCTAAAGTTATTTGTCTAAACCAATTGTTTAATCATGACCTCTGGGTCATGTAACACATGTCAGGATATTCTTTTAACAGGCTATTTCATTCTTTGTAATCTAAGATCTTCACAAATTCATAGATAAAAGTTTGATTGTTCAATCAGATGTAAGAAATTATATATTTTGAAATTGCATGATGAAGACAAATATTATCTTGCTCAAACTAATTTTAATAGTTACGTGAAGGATTAAAATCACTTCCAAGGTCCATTTTTAGTCAAAGAAATGTTTTGAGGGTCAATAAGGGTTAATGTGTTTAGCATGGATAAAAGTTGATAGAAAATGTAAATGAGACAGCATTTAAACATCACTTTAAAATATAATAATTTAATTTTGGATGTAACGTGTCTTCTGATTGGCTGACGTTGTTTTGTTTATCAGCTCATAGACATAATTTTTTCCTGTGACCGTGACGTAATCAACGTCTTTTCATAGTTTACTCCTGTTTAAAATGGAATTTAGAATTAAATTATAAGAAATGACTGTAATATTTTTTCTGTCTATTCGAAATAACATAAAAAATGTGGTGCACACTTTAAAATAACCCACTACGCGGGTTATTCAGTGTGCACCACATTTTTTATGTTATTTCTTCATAGACAGAAAAAATATTACAGTCATTCCTTAAATAGACATCAGGTGTATGTGATCCAATTCCAAACATCAAAGGAAAACATATGTCTTTATCTACATGGATGCACTGATGCATATTAAAGTAGATATAAATATATACTTACACGACTGGTACCAAATCTGTAGTTGGCAAAGCACACAGCACCATTTTGATACGAAAAGAAATAAAATCTTCCATCAAAAACCAGCATTCTCTGATTGCACGGACAAATCTGAGACAACCACCATCTCTGATTTCTCAAGCTCCATCTAACTGAATTAACATTCCTACGATACCACCTCACACACTGAGAAGCTGGGTTCTTTGGCATTATTAGACCCTCTGCATTAAGTGACATAAAAAATACACCATTTACACCTGCAATAGAATTTAAAATATATGACGCCAGTACAAAAAAAGTTAATTGTCCTAGAGCTTGATCAAACAATTTAAAATTTAATAAGCAAGTCTAAGGCATTCACGTATCTGAGCTGAAAAAAAAACAAACATTGATATGGTCATTATTATAAGTTAACTGTTTACACAACTTTGAATTGTTCTGAATACTAAGGATTTTCTACCCCAGGAATAGATTACCTTTCCTGTATTTGGCAAAACTTTTTGGAATTTTGGGTCCTCAATGCTATTCAACTTTGTATGTTATTTGGCCTTTTTAACTTTTTTTTATTTGAGTGTTACTGATGAGTCTTTTGTAGACGAAACGTGCGTCTGGCATACAAAATTTTATTTCTGGTATCAATGATGAGTTTAATAATTTTAATAAAAGGAGGTTTGCGGTATTACTCACACCATCAGAAGGTTAATCGGTACAATTGAATGTCTTGATTTGTCTTGAGATATACAATGTTTACTTTTATGTCGTAAGCCATTTTAAATGATTAAATTCCAATTTGATTTGGCCTTTCAACTGTAATGCTTCTAGAGTCACTGATGAGTTTTATGTAGACGAAATGCCAGTCTGGCATACAAAATTATAACCCAGTATCTTTCGATGAGTTTTTACATGTTGAAAACTTTGAGAAATTGTGGTTTCAATCCACTGAGGCTCACATATATACATATACCTTTTAACCAAACTGTCTTGAACCAGATGAATTTGTTCAGATAACCCAGAATTATTGTTAACAAAGGTAAGATTATTCCATATACATTCTTTGTATGTTTAAATACATGTGTTGAATGTGACAGTTTTCCTGTTGTAGTAGAGTTATAATATTTCAAATTTTCACTCTATACCAACCATCAAATGTGTTCCCTCTAAATTCACTAACGTCAAAGGCACTTCGTGTGAAGGAGTATATACTTGATGACGATCCACCTAATCCAGAATATCCTATAGCGCATTGTCTGCCACCAGGTGGAAGCAGTATATTTACATCCCTAAACAACGAGTAAGCATAGGTCTTTGCACCATTTGTTGCCAAAATAAATTGAAATGTTACAGTTTTCTAAAAAGAGAAAAAGGAAATAAATTAATGTATATGAAACTTCACTTAAACAGGTATTTCCCCTGACTGACAATAGATATTATAAGCATTCTTGGGGTGTAAATGCAAAAAAGTATCATTTATCATTTTAACTTGTAATAAAACAAACCTAGCAACAATTTCCATAATCTACATCAGGACCTAATACTTAATGTTATTGTATGACTTGTAAAATTTCTCCTTTCTCCTTGGCTAAAAGCATAGGGATTATATTGCTTGATAAAACATTATATTCATCACGGGGAAAATCATGAGAGGTTAATATAAGATTTGGAACAGCTAACATGAACCTAAATAGTTATGTTCCTAGGCAAAGTCTATAAGGAAGGTTTATGACTTCGTGCAAATTCGCCTTTTTCTTCTTCTTTTTTCAGTGTTTATTTTTTTAATGAATTTAACGAATATTTCAACTTATTAAAATTAGCATCTGCCAAAGCAGATAAAATATTTAGTATAAAAAAAGGAGCAATTAAATATCTTGAACAAATACTGGAAAATTGGAGATGGATAAAAAAAAATAATATAATAAAACAATTGTCCACTTTTGATATCAGCATGATCAGTTGATACAATGATGTATCAACCAAAGAGATAAATATGATATTCATCCTTGGTTGTTGGCCTCTGCAGTGAATATCATGTCTCTGTGGTTCATAAATCATTGTACCAATCTCATCAAAAGTCAACAATTGTATATACAATCTTACTACTTACAATATCACCATATAGCCTTGCATTTTCCCATGTCGCAACATACACACAAGATGCTGAAAAGTCACTTGTTTGAGAGTAATAATTGACATTAGAAGAAACTTTATTCAAAACTGAATCAATCAGAGTTCGATTTCCAAAATCATCATCGTCACTATAGAGATGATAATACATCTTCTCAGTTGAGCTAGATACAACCAAATCTGTCCATAATGCAGCTATTATATCTCGATCTGAAACCACGTTCAATTCTCTTGGAACATAAGAAGTATATCTGCATCCCATGCATGCTAGACCATTTGAAGAAAACTGTAATGAAAAGTAAAAGTCAATATGAATATGCAGATTGTAACGACATGATAGCAATAGGCATTATCAATTATGACATAGTTAAACTTCATTTTTTATTTCCGCATATAAACATAAGCTCTGTTTTTTTTTTACGAATTTAAAAATGCATACTTTAACAAATAAACATGGCATCAAGCTAAAATAAAACATACAATTACAAATTCATGATATAAAACATAAAGCAATGTACTCAGGAGCCTCCAGACTGCCACAGTAGTTTTGTATCCTCTGAATACCCTGTACTGCATACTACATTTATGGATGACCTATTATACACAAAATTTAGATGGAACTCAGTATTGGAACTGTTTGACAACTACAAACAGCAGCCCATGTCATGCATGCATGTGGCAGACCTCCCTATATGGGTAGCTTTTGGGACACCTGACAGTAAATCAGCAGTAGTTAAAATCTATAATTTATCAAAACCATTACGTTTCATTATGTTAAACACTAACAAAATGGGAGTAAAAGGCTTGAGCAGCACAGACATAAGCGAAAACAGCAGACATGACACAAAGGTAGTGTTGTCAACGTATAATATTTGTTCTGCCTAACAGAAGTTCCCCTGGAAACTTTTGTTATGAACAAAGCCATAATATCTGTTCCTGCTGGAACAAATATTTGATACCCTTTGTTCTATTCAGAACAAATACTGCAATATTTGTTCTAGTGTAAATAATATTACAGAATAATTCTTCAATTTGGAACTTATATATTATGAAGGAACTTCTATTTCATGACAGTGTAGTGTATCTAGCTGTATAGTGTTGACATATAAGGGTTTGGAAAAACAGGGTGAACACTAAACCCACCAAATGGTGAACAAATTAATTCCCAAAATGAGAAATATTTTCAAGTGGTAATATATTTTTATAATTCCACATTTTATACTTAAAATGGCACATATATTCATGAATAACTGCAGGCTATCTTCCAAAAGAGAAATTTGAATAATAACTAAAGTACAAATGTACAAATTAAGAAGTCTCAAGCCTATGAAAACATCTAAAATTGAGGCAAATAACAAATTAAATGTTTTTAAAACTGAATATAAAAGTATTGTTGATTGGGGAAAATTGATCCTTTTTTAAATTTACTAAATGAGAAATTATAGTTGGAAAATTGATTGGACCTCTGTTTGGACTGTAATTGTGCACCACCTGCTTTAAACTTTATATATTGAATGTAAAAATCAAAATGGAATAATTTTTACTCTGATTATTATTATGTCTTTTATAATAACAGACTCTGATTAAACCCCCACCCCCTTTTCAAACGGTACTGGCTACGATTAACCAGCAAAAACAATAAGAAATAATTATTGTTACATCGAGACTAATTGCCAGAATGAATTTCCAAACAGGAGCCGATTTCACACAGAAATTGCAGGTAACAATAGTATCCTTTTTTATTGCTACCTGCAAAATTTTACATTTGCAAATAATGTCTATTTTATGTGTAGCATTGGGATACTTTGTACTTTCTTTGTGTCATTGCCCTGTATATGTTGTTTTACATATTTGAACAAATTTATATGAATAGAAAATTATTTATTGAACATAGAAATGATAAATTGAAAGCACATTTAAAAATATACATAAAAATCTTTTATCTATTTATTTTTGTGGCACTTCCTGCATGCACATCCAGTATGTAGCCTTATGTGTCATTTTGAGGCCAACACATTTCAGGTGGTACCATTCCAGATACCGTCCCAAACTACGGATCCATAGTATATATATTCACATCTATATACTGCACACTAAACAGTTCAATTCTGCTTTATCCTTATCAGCGATATCTTAGTTTTTTTGAATTTTCCAAGACTCATTGGAAAAGTACTTTTTGATCCAGTTGAAATAAATTTCTATTTGTTAATATTTTACAAGAAATTCTTCTATAAAACTGCATTGCGGCACAAAATTTGCATCTAATGGAATCGTTGAATTTTATCATTAAAATCGTGAGAGGATATAAACTTTTCACAGACCACAAATTGGACATCTTGCTCATTGATATCCATACTATAAGCAAGGAATTGTATATCTAATTAGTCTCGAAATTTATTGGTAATCGTACCCACTCCCAGTACCTTTTTTCAAAATAATGCCACCCTCTTTTTAAAAAAAATCGATCCGCATCTGTTTTTATTTATTGTGCAGATTATAGTATGTTTTTCCTGTAAACGTTTTAAAGACTATCCGGCTCCATAGGAGATCATAAGAAACACACCATTTTATATTATATAACATCAAAACTTCTGTTATACACAACTCTTAACGTTATATCTATATGATATTATAGTAGCAGAAGTCCATTTCTTGTTTTGACACTCACTCTCTCTCAGTTTCTTTCTCGTGTTTTATAAGAATCAGTAAAGGTGGGTAGCTAGACTTCTTTCAGCTGAATGTTTATCATTGCTTCTCGTTAGAATCTTCATTTACGATGTCTCATAAAAGAGCCTCCACAAAATTATAATGTTGAATGTCGTAAAAATCTCCCGCTTACTAGGGGGTCTCATTGGGGGGTTCTGATCCCGGATCCCGCTTACTGTTTTGTCAGATTCCCGTATCCCGCTTACACTATGTACGTAAGCAATTAACATTTTTTTTGTAATTTCCCGTGTCCCGCTAGACTTCATTTCCCGTTTTCACGCCACAATAATTTGACTTTCACGTGTCACGCTTACAAAAAATCGGCAAACCCGGGTCACGCTTAGACCCCATGGCAATGAGACCCACTTACTACCCTTTTCGTCTAACGTCAACAGTACTGCACCTATTCAGCAAAAATAGCAGCGGAAATATTACAAGTTTTCATTATAATAATAATAATAATAAATTCTTTATTTAAAGAGGGTAACTCAATTAGAAGTAGTCTAATTTTCATTGAGGCCCTCAAACAAAATACACGTACTATACAGTAAACATTCATACATTCATACATTAAAATACAATACATATTACTAGTATATACACAATTCAATCATTCAAACATACAAATGGCAATAAATGGCAATAATTGGTAAAGTTTGATTAAATTTTCTTATTCTTACAATAAAAGAAAGAAAACAAATTATTCGACTTGCATAGAATTTTCAAGAAAATGATTATAACAATGTTTCTTAAATAATTCCACATTTCGACAATTTTTTATTTTGAGTGGTAAATTATTCCATACCTTTGTTTCTTTGAGACCAAACAAGTTGTATTTTTATGATTTGACACTATAAACGTCTTTCAACATAGGTAAATATATAGAGAATATCATATGGCTTTTTCAATATCACATCCGTAGCAACCCGAGACACCAATATAATCCCAAGAGCTCTGCTCGAGGGATTATATTGGTTGAGGGTTGATACGGTGTGTGATATTGAAAAAGCCATATCATATACACTTTATTATATACATATACCTCACGTAGATGTTTTTTATGTGACATGACGTCATACAGATAAGGAGGTTTGAAATGACGTCATACAGATTATATGTTTGACATGACGTCATACAGATAAGTGGTTTGATAAAGCCTTTGCAACAGTGACTGCAATCGATGACGTGACGTCATACAGATTAAAGGTGTGATAAAGCCTTTGCAACCGTGCTGATATCGATATCATCACGGGTGGCTGATACAGCATGCTTGCCAATGATTGTATAAAACATACAATTTATCTGTATTTACTACTAAGTATATAATAAATTTAAATATACACAAAACGTTCTCATTATATATCTGCAGATGAAGTATTCACTGGAAAAAGTAAAATCTACGGAAACAATGCGACGTTCACAAAAAGTCATATTTTAAAAATGAGAAAATAAAATATGTTACAGGCATTCATTTCTTAAACAAATGGAATAGTAAGCATGGACTAATGTCAAATTGTTCTAAATATTTGAAGAAATAAAACAAAACATCTGTTATTGGATTTTTAAGGATGTGAATTTAAGCATCCATGCAATTTGGGTACTCCTCATCACAGAATCATGGATCGTTTGGAGGTCGGTTCAAGCCCATTTTTCTATGATTCAGTATGGATTAAAATTTAAATTGGTGTTACTATGTAGTAAATAAGGATATATCTACAAAATAGAGAATACAGAATGGAAACTTTTGTCTGCATCATAAATAAACATAGGTGAAAAAACTGTCAAAATAGGTGCAATTTGGGTACCCTCACGTTAGTGGTTGATGATCTTTAATGATTCTTTAATTACAATTTCTACAAAAATAATTTTGAAAGGTTCTCTTTTACCCCAACTTTTTTTTTTGGGGGGGGGGGGGGGGTAATTATAAAACTGAGTATAATTCCTAGGTGAGCCCCGGTATAGAAGGAACGCGTATTTTTCGAGACGTCGGGATTGGGTCTTTATTTTTGCGGGAATTTAGGATTTACCGCGACTTATATTGTATTATAGTTGGGAATAAGTGGTTAATTTTTTCAGGATTCGGAAAGAATGCTTTATTTTTTCGGGAATTCGGAGTTCAGCGTTTATCTTTCTCTGAATTCGAGATGACACTCCGCCTATCTTCTCCTAGGTGGAGCAACCTGTATCGCCTGTCTACGCAAACCTTGAAACAGCTAGTAAATAAAAATGAACACTAGAAAACGGTTCCAAAATACTGAACGAAAGAAAAAGTTTGTTGAAGTGCAAATGACAAGAAATGAGTAGAATAATATAAACTTACTGTCAAGTAGCTGTAACTGTCACCCAAGAAAGGAATTGATGTGAAACATCTAAGATTATTAGTTGATACGTCATCTCCATAAAGTCGGGAATCAGCAGTTGGTTCTCCGAATGCCATGAAGTCTAGAATATTGTTATACATGTATTTTTAACACAACTAAACTATAAATTACCAAATAAGAGTTTGGATGTCAGTCCGGCAATATATATTAACCTCATTTAAGCATTTTTGTTTTGCATATTTGTTGTTGTGTTGCTGTCCCATTGTTGTTTTTATACATATTTTTTTATTCATGTTTAACCACAATGATGGATACAAAAAGATTTTAACAGATGGCTTTTAAAATTCATTGATTCATTGATGACTTTGGCAAATATAACATTAATATTCAAGATGATAACATTTTACATATGAATAGATATAGGAAGATGTGGTATGAGTGCCAATGAGACAACTCTCCATCCAAGTATGTATATATATACGTGCTATGTACTAGAAAGAAACACTGAGGTATTAGCAAGCAAGTTAATAGTTCACATGACGACATATCACACAACATGGACGCATTATTCTGACTTCGATACATCTTGATTTTCAATGCCGCATGATTATAAAGTCTTTGGTCTGACCGAGTCGTTGATCGAACCCGCATCATCCTGCATTCGGGGACAATAAAAACATGTCAGGTAAAACTTATAATGATTTGCCGTTTATCGTTCAACAATAATGTTGAATTATTCGGAAGTTAGGGTTTTTCTACCTCCAGGTATACATTGCCTCTGCCAGATTTGGTATATTTCAGCCAGATTTGGTATATTTGTACAACTTTTTTTAGGTTTTTTTCTATGCTTTTCAACTTCGTATTTGATTTGACCTTGTAATTGTTTGAATCAAAGCGCCACTAATGCGTCTTTTGCAGACGAAACGCCCGTTTCGCATACTAAATTTTTGATGAATTTGTGTTACCACTGCTGGTGAACGTTTCGTCTGCAAGGGAATCACCAGTCCTGTGTTTACATGAAATATCTCTGATATGATCATCGTCTTGAAATTTACTTGCTGTTTAAAAAAGCAGAATTGTTCAAAACACTGCTTATGCTTAGATAGGCTAAGCCGTATTTGGCAAATTTGTTAGGAAGTTTTTAATTTTCAAGGCTCTTCAACTTTGGCATTTCAAATGTTTCGATTCGAGCAACACTGATGAGTCTTAAGTAGACGAAACACGCTTAAGTACGTCTAGCATACTAAAAAAACTATAACAAAAATACATAACTCCAAGGTTAATTCAAAAAGGGGAAGTCCATAAAAACTGACAAAATCAAACTCCGATTGGTGTCTCGAGGGGGGGATTATAAGTCTTATATCTTCAATAATTTTTTTGTTCGTACACCAAATATGAAAATACTGTTACGTAATTCAGCGAATATCCATTGTGTATGATACGGATGACCAATCACAATGTTTTGAATAATGTAAAACATTACAAAGAATGCATTTGTTTCTGAAACTGCGAATTAAAAGTTAGTTTTCCTCCCCTCAAAAAGATATTACAGAGTACAGTTGTATCTATGTTGAAAAGGTTTCTTAAATCTTACAACAGCCGTGTTTATTTATAACCGAGTTTCGTATTTCGATCAAACTATAAAATACCAATATGTACCTTTTGTGTTTTTTAAATATTTTATTGGTCACAGCAAACTTCAAAGCTATATGATAAAAATGTCGAGCAATGATATCAATTGAGCAATGCACACCTGTCACATTTTATCTACTTTTTTCCTTTCAAACTGGCATATGTGTCTATGATAAAATATAAAAAAAACAATATCATACCTGAGGCACGTGCTGCAGCAGATGTTGTCTGTACTGAGGTTGTTGTTTGTGTAGAAGTTGTTGTTGACAATGTTGTAGTGACTGGCTGGGTTGTGATATCTAATGGTGTTGTCTCAGTTGTGGTTTCTAAAGTCGTTGCAGCTGTTGTAGTTTCTGATGTTGTTGTCTGTGTTGTAGTTTCTAATGTTGTTGCTTCAGTTGTTGTTTCTAATGACGTTGCACCTGTAGTAGTTTCTAATGTCGTTGCCTCAGTTGTGGTTTCTAACGTTGTAGCCTCTGTTGTAGTTTCTAAGGTAGTTGCATCTGTTGTGGTTTCTAATATAGTTGCCTCGGTTGTGGTTTCTAAAGTTGTTGCCTCTGTGGTAGTTTCTAATGTAGTTGCTTCTGTGGTAGTTTCTACTGTAGTTGCCTCAGTTGTAGTTTCTAAGGTCGTTGCCTCAGTTGTAGTTTCTAATGTAGTTGCCTCTGTAGTTGTTTCTATAGTTGTTGCATCTGTTGTTGTTTCTAAGGTTGTTGCCTCTGTGGTAGTTTCTAATGTTGTTGCCTCAGTTGTAGTTTCTAATGTAGTTGCCTCTGTGGTAGTTTGTAAGATAGTTGCCTCTGTGGTAGTTTCTAATGTAGTTGCCTCAGTTGTGGTTTCTAAAGTTGTAGCCTCTGTTGTAGTTTCTAATGTAGTTGCCTCTGTGGTAGTTTCTAATGTAGTTGCCTCTGTGGTTGTTTCTAAGGTCGTTGCATCTGTTGTAGTTTCTAAGGTAGTTGCATCTGTAGTAGTTTCTAATGTTGTTGCATCAGTTGTAGTTTCTGTAGTTGTTGCCTCTGTGGTAGTTTCTAATGTAGAAGCCTCTGTGGTTGTTTCTAAGGTCGTTGCATCTGTTGTAGTTTCTAAAGTAGTTGCATCTGTAGTAGTTTCTAATGTTGTTGCATCAGTTGTAGTTTTAGTAGTTGTTGCCTCTGTGGTAGTTTCTATTGTAGTTGCCTCTGTGGTTGTTTCTAAGGTCGTTGCATCTGTTGTAGTTTCTAAGGTAGTTGCATCTGTAGTAGTTTCTAATGTTGTTGCATCAGTTGTAGTTTCTAATGTTGTTGCCTCTGTAGTTGTTTCTGTAGTTGTTGCCTCTGTAGTAGTTTCTAATGTAGTTGCCTCAGTTGTGGTTTCTAAGGTTGTTGCCTCTGTGGTAGTTTCTAATGTTGTTGCCTCAGTTGTAGTTTCTAATGTAGTTGCCTCTGTGGTAGTATGTAAGGAAGATGCCTCTGTTGTAGTTTCTAATGTAGTTGCCTCGGTTGTGGTTTCTAAAGTTGTTGCCTCTGTTGTAGTTTCTAATGTCGTTGACTCAGTTGTAGTTTCTAATGTAGTCGCCTCTGTTGTTGTTTCCAAGGTTGTTGCTTCTGTTGTAGTTTCTAAGGTAGTTGCATCTGTAGTAGTTTCTAATGTTGTTGCATCAGTTGTAGTTTCTAATGTAGTTGCCTCTGTAGTTGTTTCTATAGTTGTTGCATCTGTTGTGGTTTCTAAGGTTGTTGCCTCTGTGGTAGGTTCTAATGTTGTTGCCTCAGTTGTAGTTTCTAATGTAGTTGCCTCTGTGGTAGTTTGTAAGGTAGATGCCTCTGTTGTAGTTTCTAATGTAGTTGCCTCGGTTGTGGTTTCTAAAGTTGTTGCTTCGGTTGTAGTTTCTAATGTTGTTGACTCAGTTGTAGTTTCTAATGTAGTCGCCTCTGTTGTTGTTTCCAAGGTTGTTGCTTCTGTTGTAGTTTCTAAGGTAGTTGCATCTGTAGTAGTTTCTAATGTTGTTGCATCAGTTGTAGTTTCTATAGTTGTTGCCTCTGTTGTAGTTTCTAATGTAGTTGGTTCTGTGGTAGTTTCTAAGGTAGTCGCATCTGTAGTAGTTTCTAATGTTGTTGCATCAGTTGTAGTTTCTATAGTTGTTGCCTCTGTTGTAGTTTCTAATGTAGTTGGTTCTGTGGTAGTTTCTAACGTTGTAGCCTTAGTTGTTGTTTCTAATGTTGTTGCCTCTGTTGTAGTTTCTAATGACGTTCCCCAAGTTGTAGTTTCTAAAGTTGTTGCCTCTGTTGTAGTTTCTAAGGTCGTCGCCTCTGTTGTAGTTTCTAAGGTCGTTGCCTCAGTTGTAGTTTCTAATGTAGTTGCCTCTGTAGTTGTTTCTATAGTTGTTGCATCTGTTGTTGTTTCTAAGGTTGTTGCCTCTGTGGTAGTTTCTAATGTTGTTGCCTCAGTTGTAGTTTCTAATGTAGTTGCCTCTGTGGTAGTTTGTAAGGTAGTTGCATCTGTGGTAGTTTCTAATGTAGTTGCCTCAGTTGTGGTTTCTAAAGTTGTAGCCTCTGTTGTAGTTTCTAATGTAGTTGCCTCTGTGGTAGTTTCTAATGTAATCGCCTCTGTTGTTGTTTCCAAGGTTGTTGCTTCTGTTGTAGTTTCTAAGGTAGTTGCATCTGTAGTAGTTTCTAATGTTGTTGCATCAGTTGTAGTTTCTATAGTTGTTGCCTCAGTTGTAGTTTCTAATGTAGTTGGTTCTGTGGTAGTTTCTAAGGTAGTTGCATCTGTAGTAGTTTCTAATGTTGTTGCATCGGTTGTAGTTTCTATAGTTGTTGCCTCTGTTGTAGTCTCTAATGTAGATGGTTCTGTGGTAGTTTCTAAGGTAGTTGCATCTGTAGTAGTTTCTAATGTTGTTGCCTCAGTTGTTGTTTCTGTAGTTGTTGCATCTGTGGTAGTTTCTAAAGTAGTTGCCACAGTCGTGGTTTCTAAAGTTGTTGCTTCTGTTGTAGTTTCTAAGGTAGTTGCATCTGTTGTAGTTTCTAATGTAGAAGGTTCTGTGGTAGTTTCTAAGTTAGTTGCATCTGTAGTAGTTTCTAATGTTGTTGCCTCAGTTGTTGTTTCTGAAGTTGTTGCATCTGTGGTAGTTTCTAAAGTAGTTGCCTCAGTCGTGGTTTCTAAAGTTGTTGCTTCTGTTGTAGTTTCTAAGGTAGTTGCATCTGTTGTAGTTTCTAATGTAGTTGCCTCGGTTGTGGTTTCTAAAGTTGTTGCCTCTGTGGTAGTTTCTAATGTAGTTGCTTCTGTGGTAGTTTCTACTGTAGTTGCCTCAGTAGTAGTTTCTAGAGTTGTTGCTTCGGTTGTAGTTTCTAATGTTGTTGACTCAGTTGTAGTTTCTAATGTAGACGCCTCTGTTGTAGTTTCCAAGGTAGATGCTTCTGTTGTAGTTTCTAAGGTAGTGGCCTCTGTGGTAGTTTCTAATGCTGTTGCATCTGTTGTAGTTTCTAATGTAGTTGCCTCTGTGGTTGTTTCTAATGTCGTTGCATCTGTAGTAGTTTCTAAGGTAGTTGCATCTGTAGTAGTTTCTAAGGTAGTTGCATCTGTAGTAGTTTCTAATGTTGTTGCCTCTGTTGTAGTTTCTAATGTCGTTGGTTCTGTTGTATTTTCAAATGTAGTTGCCTCTGTGGTTGTTTCTAATGAAGTTACCTCTGTAGTTGTTTCTAAGGTCGTTGCCTCAGTTGTAGTTTCTAGAGTTGTTGCTTCAGTTGCAGTTTCTAATGTTGTTGCTTCTGTTGTAGTTTCTAATGTAGTTGCCTCAGTTGTAGTTTCTAGCGTTATAACCTCTGATGTTGTCTCTAATGTCGTTGCATCTGTTGTTGTTTCTAATGTAGTTGCCTCGGTTGTGGTTTCTAAAGTTGTTGCCTCTGTGGTAGTTTCTAATGTCGTTGCCTCAGTTATGGTTTCTAACGTTGTAGCCTCTGTTGTAGTTTCTAAGGAAGTTGCCTCTGTGGTAGTTTCTAATGTAGTTGCCTCGGTTGTGGTTTCTAAAGTTGTTGCCTCAGTTGTAGTCTCTAGAGTTGTTGCCTCGGTTGTAGTTTCTAATGTTGATGCATCAGTTGTAGTTTCCAATATAGACGCCTCTGTTGTAGTTTCCAAGGTAGTTGGTTCTGTGGTAGTTTCGAAGGTCGTTGCCTCTGTGGTTGTTTCTAAGGTCGTTGCATCTGTTGTAGTTTCTAATGTAGTTTCCTCGGTTGTGGTTTCTAAAGTTGTTGCCTCTGTGGTAGTTTCTAATGTAGTTGCCTCAGTTGTAGTTTCTAGAGTTGTTGCATCTGTGGTAGTTTCTATAGTTGTTGCATCTGTTGTTGTTTCTAATGTAGTTGCCTCAGTTGTGGTTTCAAAAGTTATTGCCTCTGTGGTTGTTTCTAATGTTGTTGCCTCAGTTGTAGTTTCTAGAGTTGTTGCTTCAGTTGCAGTTTCTAATGTTGTTGCTTCTGTTGTAGTTTCTAATGTAGTTGCCTCAGTTGTAGTTTCTAGCGTTATAACCTCTGATGTTGTCTCTAATGTCGTTGCATCTGTTGTTGTTTCTAATGTTGTTGCCTCAGTTGTTGTTTCTAAAGTTGTTGCCTCTGTTGTTGTTTTTATGGTAGTAACATCAGTTGTAGTTTCTGTCGCCACATCAGTTGTGGTTTCTGTTGTAAAATCAGTTGTAGTTTCTGCAGTATCTGACGTTGTTTCTATCGTTACATCAGTCGTAGTTTCTGTTGTAACATCAGATGTAGTTTTTGTAGTAATTGCAGTTGTTTCTGTCGTTGCATCAGTTGTAGTTTCAGTAGCCATATCAGTTGTGGTTTCTGTTGTACCATCAGTTGTAGTATCTGCAGTATTTGACGTTGTTTCTGTCGTTACATCAGTTGTAGTTTCTGTCGCCATATCAGTTGTGGTTTCTGTTGTACCATCAGTTGTAGTATCTGCAGTATTTGCCGTTGTTTCGGTCGTTACATCAATTGTAGTTTCTGTTGTAACACCAGTTGTAGTTTCCGCAGTAATTGCAGTTGTTTCTGTCACCACATTAGCCGTGGTTTCTGTAGTATTTGACGTTGTTTCTGTCGTTACATCAGTTGTAGTTTCTGTTGTAACACCAGTTGTAGTTTCCGCAGTAACTGCAGTTGTTTCTGTCGTTACAGCAGTTGTAGTTTCTGTTTTAACAGTCGTGATAGCAGTGGTATCTATTGTTGTTGATGAAGCAATACATTCAAAGAAAAGCAAAGCAATCAAAATTCTAACTGCCATCGAAGTTATTATCCACCGTCCTATAATTAACATTTTAGCCCTGAAAAATAAGAAGAAATATTAAAACAATGGTGGTTCTTATCAATTGTGTTTATTTAAGTTATAATATATCTTGTTCGCTATTTTTTTTTTGTCACAAATTCGGTTTCTGTTCCCACCTGTGTTTAGTTTTTTTAACATAAAAGAGAAAATGTTCATGTTTAATTGTAACGGCATTTGCTTTCATCGATAGTTTGCTTTGTTGACAAACAATAAATAGAAATTGGAATCAAATCATTACCTAAATCAAAATCTGGTTTTCATTAAGCAATAAGCGAAAAATGGATATTGAACGATATATATGTGTTTTGTTGTTGATACATCACAGGAAATACATGTGATGTCAAGGTTTTTATATCAATGAACCTTGCTGTCTTTTTCAATACAAGAAAAAGAAATAAGATAAAAAAAAACAACCACAAAAAAAACCCAGAGAAATGACCAGAAATCAGTAGGATCCTTAAAAAAGAACCAACATGAATTTTGTCTTCAGTTATTCGTCCATCTGCATTAATCTTCATGACCCAGAAAAATTGGTCTATTTTGCTTTTTGATTTTAAACTTTTCTTGCTCAACATTATTTTTTCAATTATCGAATTTTACCATGTGCAAAATTATGGTTCTTGAATCTAGAACGGGTACTGCTTGTCTTTCCAGGTCGTCTGAGTTTACATCTGGCTCGAAATCCTTAATTTTCTGTGTAATATTTTGTGTCCAGTTATTCGTCGTGTTGCTTTATTCTTTTGTTTTGACTATGCATGCTGAAATCTGTCCTTTGTTTTATTGTTTCTGGTTGAGTGCATAACCAGGAACAAATCATGAATTATTCCATTTGTTATAAACACATTCCTTTCATCATGGTTAGAGATTTGAAGGACCTCACCATATTAACTTTAAGGTAAAAAATGTTACACTCAAATAACAAAACCAAAATGAACAATATTTAAAAAAGAGATAGATTGAAAACAAACTGACAACGCCATGGCTAAAAATAAAAAGACAAACAGACAAATAATAGTACACAAGACACAACATAGAAAACTAAAGACTAAGCAACGCGAACCCCACCAAAAACTGGGGATGATATCAGGTGCTCCGGAAGGGTAAGCAGATCCTGCTCCACATGTGGCACCCGTCGTGTTGCTTATGTTATTACAAATCCGGTAAATAGTTTTATTCGGTAGGTCACATTCGTGAAAAGGGAAGGGTATTGTAGTTACGACATAAGGAACATATCCGATATCATCTGTGAAACGGTTATTCCATAACGGTCAACCAACTCGTGATGGCGTCCGTAAAATTTACGAAGGGATGATTTCAACTTCACCATTTGGAACTCTTGGCTTAATAGCTTCCTTGTGAGCAGCAGTCCTCTATCAAGGAAATCATGATAGGAAATACAAGCCCGGGAATATCGTATCAATTGGGAGATATATACTCCGTATGCAGGCGCTGCTGGAATGTTGCTACATAGAAATAAGTTAGAGACTTTTTTTTAGGCATGATTTATGTTATTTCATACTTAAATAATATTTTATTGAATATATTTCTTGCAACTGTATTGAAGCATGATTTATTTTATTGTATATTTGAAAAAAAATATATTTTATTACATAGATTTATTGTGTCAATCATAAAGAACTGTAATTGATTAACTGGAAAATTACCTTTCATGGTTTAGACAATCTTAAATTTAAAGCGGAAGATATGATAACTTTGTTAAGCGTCTTCCTTAGTTATAATATTTAATTCACAAGTGTCTGGCTATATCATATAAGACCGATCGTACTAAATAAAGCAGCAATTGGTATGTGTACACACTAGTCCTATCTCCATACAAGCTATCGAATTGAAACATGTCTACTATAAAAAATTAATACAAACTAGAGGCTCTTAGGCTCTAAAGAGCCGGTGTTGCTCACCTAGGTCTTTGTGCATATTCAACAATGGACTCTCTCCAACATTGTAGACTAGAAATTTTTCTGTTTAGTTTCTCTCTATCTTCTTTAGCTTTTGCCCAAAACACAAAAGAGGGTAAAAAATTTATCTGTTAAGGGCCCCTGTAAAGATTCTACTAACTATATCGGTAACATTTGATTTGACTGTAGATCTTGTCTTGCTGATAATTTTTGTAACAAAAGTTTCTATCTATCTTTTACAGTTTTCAAGATAATAAGCAAAAACGCCAAAATTTGGTAAATATCGTCATTAAAGAGCAAGAACTCGAATAACGAATCGACTAACGATTTCGGCCATGTTGAATTATTTGTAGATCTTGTCTTGCTGATTCCTTTTGCTATTTAAAGTGTCGACTTTCTATTATTTTTTCAAGATAATATGCAAAAATACTAAAATTTGGTAAACATCGTCATTAAAGAGCAATTACTCCAATAACGAGTCAACTGAAGAATTCGGTCATTACACTTACTTGTAGATTTAGTCTTGCTGATCATTATTGCTTCTTAAAGTTTCTATTTATCTATAGTAGTTTTTATGATATTAAGGTATTTCTGTTCTGTCAGATTTTCTCTTTTTATAGCGTTTTTCAAAATAATAGACAAAACTTGCATTTTACCACTATGTTCTATTTCTAGCCGTTTCGGCCATCTTGGTTGGCAGTCGGACCATTTTATAAACTAAATACTCCATTGATGATTGTGGCCAAGTTTGGTTAAATTTTGACCAGTTTTTCTGAGGAGCAGATTTTTGTAAAAGTTAACGGACGACGACTAGAAAAGCTCGCTTGGCCCTATTAGGCAGAAGAGCTAAAATTTAGAAGATGTTGGTGATTGCGAATGAGACAATTAACTTGACCAACATTAACGCTTAACATGCATGGATTTCCGGTTTATTCAGTCAAACTAATGCTTGTTTTGGAGGGTGAAACACGTGTCGCTTATTCATAGTGTTTTATACTAAGTCATAGCAAATGTAGGAAGCTGTTTTCATGTGTGAAATCGCTAGAAAAAAAACATTGTCCCTGCAAGTTGAGGATGCACACTGCTTTTCGACAATTCTTGCAAGAAGAAAGCGATAACATCCAGGAAACTTGTTTAACAATACTAGTACCTTTATCTGTTATCTAGAACTGATTACAGCCGCTCGATGATTTTAAGTTTTTTACTACATATAATGGAGAAAAAAAACATCTCATCCAACAATATCGTTTATATGCTTCGCTACTGACCCCTACGGATCCACACAGGTTTAGTAAAATATATAGGGGTGAGGCCGTAGTCATCTAGCCATGATTTACAATGTATGTTGGATAAATTTTCAGAGTAGTTTAAATAATGGAAATTAAAAATTAATATTAATAAAACGAAAATAATGGAATTTATCGCACAGGAGACTTTTACTGCCAAGTTTTGTACAAAATGTTAAAACTAAACAATGAAATACAATAACAATATTAGTAGACGTAACGCTGTAATGCCCCCTATAAAATCTACTGACCCCTACGAATCCATAAGGGGTCATCACATGACGGCATTAGTAATTTACCCGAGGTGCGATAAAGGTTGTATAGTGCTTTATCTTTTTAATGAAAAAAATAATTATATATAAAGATAAGATGATGAAGAAACTAAAGAACGACGATGTAATTAACTATACATGATACAAGGTGCACTATATGGCCTTCGACAATGAGCAAAACCCATACTGTATAGTAAGCTATCAAAGGGTTCCGGTATGACAAAATGTGAAAGAATTCAATAGAGAAAACCAAAGGCTTGATTAATGAAATAAGCGAAAAATACATACATTTCTAAAGCCATCAAATATTTAAAAAATGACTTCTTAAATGCAAACGTTTGAAAAATTACAACGATAAATATTTTTAATTCAAAAGAAAATCATATCAATATTATTTCCGTTCAAACAACATGTTTTAATGGTGGGATAAACTGATCTCAATGAATTATACATCCTCGTAAAAAGGTATGATTTAAATTTAAATAGGTCTTTTGATCATTGTTGAAGGTTGTACTTTTGACTTGAAGGTGTTCACATCCTTGTGACTTGGTTGGTAGTTATCTCATTGATAATCACATACCATCTCCTTTATTATTTTTAAATATTTTATTTTATATTATATGTAAATGCAGGTAGCAGTTTAATCATTGGTTTCTTAGTTAATACATGTAGCTTTTAGACTACAACATTAAACTTGTTTGACAAGACCAGATGTTTTTCGCTTTATTTCGCAAATAAACGTGTTTTGTTTTGCATTGTACTATCGAATTTAGTAGCGAAGAAACCTTCAAAAAGTCACTTCAAATTTTCATATTGTTTAACTTTGGATCATAAATCTGTGTAATAGCACTGCATCTGATAATTTATATCCCCATAATAGATAATAAAATAACAAAAGTCTGTAAAACGAGCACGGTTTGGAAAATATTACCTGTTTTTATTTCTTTTGTTTTCTTTTGTAGATTGTTGGGTTATTTTGTCCTTTTATTGGGGGGAGGGGGTCTTTTTATAAAAAAAATTTAATCGATGAACCAGACTATAAATTATACTAGTATCATTTTGAAAATAAATATCTAAATAATGAAAATAAAAAGATGACTTGAAATGACGAAAATAGTGCGAAGAACGAAAAGATATGGGTGAAAAACGATAATATACTAATACCTCACTTGAAAACGAGAACAGAGACCACATCGTTTGGTCTAAAATCCTGGATATTTTGTGTCAAAGCGGATAACTAGTGTAAGCATGATGTGGGGTAATAAGGAGCCCTTTTTAAAAGATCTAACGTATACTAAGCATGACATGTTATTTAATTGAGGGACATTCTATCTCTAATCGATATAGAATGACATCCGATTATTTTAATAAGATAAACGTAAGGGAAAAGAATGGATGAATTGTTTGAGTTTAAAGTCACTTTCAACACTATGGCTGAATCGTTGCGGCTATTTTTATTGGTGGTGAAAGTCGGAGTAACCGGAAAGAACCACCACCCTTTGACAGAAACACTAACAATCCTAG